GAGTATCGAGAATTCTCATTTGTGGATGACTTTTTTAAAGTTATATAGCAGACACAAATAAACTGCTAAACAGCATCTAAAAAAGCGGCAAGCACCTCGGTGCGACCCTACGGGGTCTTTGGATTTGACCCATTTTCAATAGGCTTATTACTTGTGGCATATAGGTCAACTATGCAAAGTTTGTACCAAATCGGTCCACGCGTTTGACAGTTATCGTGTTCACGGACGGACGGACGGACAGACAGACGGACACCATCTACTCCCCTATAAAGCATTCATCCCTTTGCTCTACCGCTTAATAAAAATGAAACGTATCTGACACGGATGTAGCGATTGGAATGATCGGGAAGAGAAGTACACATCGGCGTAAGTTCATGGAGCAGAATTTCCATTAGGAGCCAATTTCGTCGGGGAAACGATAAAACACATAAGTTAGTAAAGTAAAATCTTGAATTTTCTGCCATTTTTTTCAAGAAATGCCTATTTTTCCGATACTTAATGTTAATACTTAATACACCCAAGGCGACGTTGGTCGCTGTGAAATCATTCGTCATCACTGTTATCAGTAACCGATACAATGGAATGTCAAAGGATCTGCAGTATTATTACCATTTGTTTTCTTGGAAATTTATTTATTTCTATAATTTTAGAAAATAAATTTTCCTGTGCGTCAAATTTCAACACGATCGACCACTTTTAAAAAAGTATCGTGCAGATGGACGGACAGACTGACAACAATGCAACGGATCTTTAACAATAGACGCAGCCCAGACGAGGTGTATGAACAAACACTGAAACAAAATCACTAACAAACAATAGAACTATAATAAATCATCATCAGCGAACAACTAAACAGATAGTTGCTCGATTTGTGCTCTTATTTAAATTCTTGTTCTAATGTATAGGTTTTAATATTCTTACGCCATCTAGGTATTTTCTTTGTAATCCACTAGTTCTGTAGTTAATTTGTTCTAAGTGTTATAGCTTTCTTATTACTTTAGTTCTTTAGTTTGCCGATAGAGGCCATTTTAGATTCTTTTTACGATACTTCTTGTCTAGAGTTGACGCTTTGTACTTTTCTGTATGTACCTAATTCTATCCCTTCTCAAGTTTAGTATTGTGCTCAGTTGTATTTGTTTCCCTTCAGTGACGTTTCTGCTTTCGTATTGCTTACATGCAAATTTTTCTTTTGTATGCCATTACCAGTAAAAACTGACTTTTTTTTCGTGGATAAAGGATATGTATTTTGGATGTCACCATTTATCTTTGGAGTGGCTTCTCTTTCTCTTCTCATAAGTTTTTCTTTTAGATTACCTTTTACGTTGTATTTACCATTACCATAGCATCCTTGGTATTTACCTAGATATATATTCCTACTACCTACGCAGTACGTCAATGACATTTCTAGTTGGACCCGTCATCTTATTAGGATTGGTATTGGCGCGCGTTACGCCGTGGACATTACCGACTTGAGAAACCCTACCCACATTAACCACCTGAATCTACTTCATTCTACCAATATTACCACCTACTCGAAGTTTATGACAAGATTTCGATATTTATTTATTTATTGTCCCCCTCTTGTTATGGGCCCTCAACCGGCTTTCGCCCAATTACAGATTGACCCGCATATAATACTTTAATACTGTACCGCGTGACTCAACAATAAGACTGTTCCTCGGTCATATCTCGGGAATCGTTTGTCGTATGACCACCAGAGGGCGTAACTGCCGTCTTAAATTTTAAAATTGCATTTTCTTTAAATTTCGCATAATAAACTAAACATTCTTTTTTCACATTTTTAAAGAGAACCAGTTTATCTATCATTTTCGTAAAAACAAAAACTCAGTTATTTCAAAAACAAAGATGGCGTGGGGCGTTCAATTGTTTTTGCAATAACCTGCTTTAACCTCTTAACCGTTTGACCGATTGTAACAAATTTGGTATCGTTGAAAAGAGCATTCTTTGGGAAACAAGAATCAAAATATAGTTAATTTAGTTGAATCCTACTCCGCTAGGGGGCTAGTCTAAAATGCCGATTTCTAACCAAGAAGCGTTTAATATACTGGCGGCGATGGTTCGTAGTCGGATAACGCAAAGAGAAGATGCGGGCAGCGATGGTCGCATTTTGAAAATACTTAAAATATATCGCCAGCATATTAAATGCTTCTTGATTAGAAATCGGCATTTTAGAAAAGATTACAAATTCAAAAAACTGCACTTTCTGAATGCGTAAACACAGCAGAATAATTTACAAATTATGGCTGTTATTATTTTATAATGCATCGTGTTTCATTTGTTTAATTTTCCAAGACCTACCTAAAAGTGTAGGGCCCTTTTTTTGCGCCATTGATAAATACCGGAAATATGTAAAAACTAAATTTAAGATACAAGTTAAGCATTTTTATTAATTAATTAATTAATCTCATTTCTCCAATATTTGAGGTTAGGAACGAGATTTTGAAAAACGGTTTTCACTGTCCTCTTTGGATGTTATTTGGCTACTTTTTCATAAAGAAAAGGTCATATCATTCCCTTTTTTTTATGATTTTATGATAATGTCAAAATTAGCTTCCTGGTGGAGAAGGATTCAACTAAATTAACTATGGTTGATTCTCATTGCCCAAGGAATGCTGTTTTCAACCATACCAAATTTGTTAAAATCGGTCAAACGGTTAACAAGTTAAAGCAGGTTATTGCAAAAACAATTGGACGCCCCACACCATCTTTGTTTTTGAAATTACTGAGTTTTTGTTTTTACGAAAATTATAAAAAATAAATTGGTTCTTTAAAAATGTGAATAAATTTTTTTTGTTTATTATGCGAAATAGCAACGGCTCAAGAACTGATCCTTGAGGAACATGTAACAGTATTTCTGTTCAGGTTCAGGTTCATTTTTACGTAATTGAAATGTGAAGTCTAAATATAATCATGACCCCCAAGTATGAATAAGCACTTTCTTTCGGCTACTTCGCGATCATGATTTCAAGATCGTGATTCGTAGTATCACGTTTTACGAAAGAACGCGCGAATTTAAATCAAAGTATGGTTAAGTTTACGTAGTACACATTTGCATTCGAATTACGTATTTTTTGTTTGGATTATGAAAATAATTTAAATACAAGTGGAAGTACTTGCACCATTCCTCTTCAGCTACAAATATTGGCTAACCTTTTGAGCAAAAATATCCTTGCAATTATAAGTTAGGAATTCGTGATCATAAAACTTTTATGTGCAGTTTGTTCACGATTTTAGCAATCATGATCATATAAGATCACACTTCGAAAGAACGTGATTCAAAAGCTTTATTCGCGGGCGATCAGTCTATATAAACGTAAGTGGATTGTGCGCATACGCAGAAATGAGGCCACGGGATAAACACTACGAGAGTATAAATACGGAAATTTCCAGTAGCGAGAGGGAGTTGCTCGCCGTCTTTTCACGGGGCAACATCTGTGCCAGTCGCGCCCGTAAATCATAAGCGCGTTTTCTTGTAATAGTGAATTGAGGCGACTTTTTTAAGAAAATCGAGAGAAAGAACCGAGCGAAAACATCTCAATCCAGCCACTACATCGGCACTTCACGGCACTCCGGAGAAAATTAGGAGGATTGCGAGATTTCCGAAGAGCAGTTCCATTTTCTGTTCTACACGCGGTCCGTGCACGGTCTACATGGAGGATGCCGAAAAAGTCGCGTTGAAACCGGCCGGTCTGTGATTGGCCGAACCGAAATTCAAATAGCTGCTTACAATGGGCGGGTTGAGATCATTTGATTTCAACATCGATCGGAGCGAGGCTAAGACTGCATTCCGAATCCTAGTGCACATTAACAATAGACGTTCAAGGTGTTTATAAACCAGTAACATTATCGCTTGTAGTTTATCGTCTTTGTTGTTCGCCCCGTCGTAGGCTATTGCATTGTCGTTTGAATTTGTGTTATTGTAAAGGCGATTTAATCACCTACTACGGTTGCCTTCAAATAAGTGCGTGTGAGCACTGTTTGTTTCCATTTTAACGACTCGTGCCTGGAGGCGTTACAACACGCATTTGCAGCAGTTTGATTTGATTTTCAATCTAATTGTATACTAATTTATGAAACAAGAATTAAGTTTCTTTCTGTACTCGGCGGTTTTAGAGTAAATATTTTGATTTTTGACTAACGTAATAAAGACAGATTTTCCTTTCTATGCAGTAAATTTTTGTGAATAAATGAGTACCCTACTTTTACATAAACGTACCGCCTCAGCCTCCATTTCTTTTGACGTGTGTTATTTACAGCAAAAAGGCGATTTTCTAAGAGAAAAAGAATATAATAGGTTTTAATAAAAACTATTGATTTTTATTCATTTATCCTTTCCCATCTCCTCAAGGCCAGAAAAGTACCATCGACTGAAGCTAGTCGGCGCCCAACAATAATTATTTTATGTAAGAAGAACCACCCCTAAATAAAATATTTTGAGAAAGAAACGGTAGGAAGAGTTGAAAAGTAACCAGCCGGTTAGAAACACCACATATACCGGCTGCGAAAAGTTTGTTTAAGATTATTGCAGAGTCAACAATTTGGCACAAATGTTTTTTTTTAAATATAGCAGAATATAAAACCAGCAACCTTTGTGCCACAGCTATTTAGACCGTCCAAAATTTGAGATATAAGTCTTTGCAGTGTTAAAGCCTTCTCGAAAGTCGTACTGAACTGCTAAAACAAACTTTTTTTGCATAAGAAACTGACTAGCCTTGCCTTCATAACTTTTTCGAGTGGCTTAGAAAAGATTGGCAACAAAGCTATTGGTCTACTATTAACTATCTCCTGATTTTAAAAAAAGGAATTACTTTTATAGTCTTCAGATTATTGGAAATACCCCAGTTTCACTTTTCAGAGGTGTACTAATTGCACCTGCCACAAACTGGTACAGACTGAATCGTCACCTGGGCATCCGGAACTAACTAGGATCAGCAATTGATTCATCGTTCCTCTTAATTTAATATTTTACATTTGTAGGTCTCTTTCCTATTTCATTATTACCCGGATCTTGTGTTTACGTCGCAGTCTGAAGTTTCTTGCAATGGGATTCGCTATTTGGAGACTAATTATGGTGATTTTGATCCACTGATCAAGGACTTCCTCAGGCGACAATTAGGTAATGAATTTTTTTTTGTAAAAATAGACAGTAGCATACCTATTCCATTCTGTTAGATTATTAACGTTTGGGCGAGTTTGACCAACATTCGATATTGATTAGTGGAATTCTACAACATTAAGTAGGTAATGTTCGTGTAAGTAGTTATTGATAAAAAAACCTAGTCACCTTTATGTTTCGATTGTAGAGTGGAGGCGTTTGGGATTGATTATTTTGTCAAAAGCATTGTATCGCTAAACTCCCAGATTTAAGAGTGTAGCACGTAAGTTTTGCCGATCTTGATCCGCTTAATTTCTCCATTTGTTCGAAATTGATTAAGAATATTATCTAAGCAACGTCCTTCAATAAGTTAGAAATTACGAGTAGGTACTACAAGTGTACCAACGTGCCAACAACTGCTCGAGATCAGTCGCTATCAAAGGATGAGGGCTCTCTAGAACTGTTGTCGCTATACAAGTTCAATCATTACTATGGACCTTACGGGAGTCCTGGAAATTCGTCCACCATTTTAAATTGCAGAGTTCGTATAATTAATTGGACACCATGCAGATTCTTTGCGGTTATCTCCCACTAGGTGCACACATTACTATTTGAACACTATGGGGAAATCCTCGAGGCGGATGGAGACGTTGCTATTTATGTTTCAACGTAAGGAAGGTCGAGGGTTAGTGATTACTTGCATAACTTTATGTCAATTAAGATGATAAGAATTTTTCCTCCTACTTTTGATTAGATCTATAATACGTTGCCGCTCAATATAATCTGGTCGTAGTAAAAGAATTTGCGCACACGTTACTTTTGGGAAACAGAGGTGATGTGAACGCTGAGATTTAAATTTTTTTATAGATTCTCATTTATTAATATTTTAATTTATAAACGATGTTGAAAATTAGGAGGTTACCTGTACGTGCAGCTTTGGGGCGGAAATATTTTGTAAGTACTTATTAGCATAATTATTACTCCACTTTGTAGTACCTACCATCTTCAATCTGCCATGGTGTCACTCTTGATCCTTTTAAATCTATTGATTCGGAAAATTTTTCTATTTTTTTTAGAATATTTTAGTACCTACGGCTATATGCAAATCAGAATACACTTACTCTTCATATCTTGCCCTTTTACTATTCAGTGAAGATGAAATTAACTATTGTAAAGTGTTAAACTTAAAACGTGGAGGCTTAAATTTGGCAGTTGCCATGAATCTTTATCGCATTGTAAATATCGTAATCACAATTACTACCCGTCTTTTCATTCAGATTACAAAATCTTTAAAGGTTTATCGTTCTGAATTTTTGCACAAAATTATGTACTGTTTATTTATATCTTATCGAAAAGTATGTTGTAATGAAATTTAATTGCGTTTTTGCTATTAATACTATGTTCTTAAAAAAGCTATAAGATTCTTCTTTGTTCGGTGTAAGTAAATGGTACTTTCTTGGACATAAATTAAAATTCGCACAAATAGCAACGTACCGAAGAATAATTATACTAAATTGGACTAGACTATAGGTAAACGCAAGTGGCTCCAAATAAAATTAATTAATCGAGAAGGAAATTACTTTTGGGAGGATTTTAAAATAAATGTCACATGCCCACAGCCTGTGTCGTGTAGATTAGCCAAATAGTTACTTAACTTTTGATTCTTACGTTCAATTACGATTTATTTCTATTATTATTGGCGATTGTAATGTTGTATTTGCCTCACAGCTAGTTCAATCGGTTCCACTTAAAAATAACATTTTCAAGGTTTTGAACTTTTTCCTTAATTAAGAGTTTAAGCATAAATTCTTATTTTCTACAGCTAACTGATCACAAAATAACAATAAAGTAACAAAAACCCCGTTCGCGGGCTCCCGTTACACAAAGGAACCTAATCGTCCTAAGGAAGAGCTTGAATTTCATGAAATGTAAAAAACAACTACAGGGTCTACAACAAATAAGAAACACGTGTAAATAAATACACCTCAAAACAATACACTAGCCCTAGCCACACTCGACCTCGGATCACAACGCGGAGAGTAAAACATGCATTGTCCCCTTGTATGTGTTGGGCCGATCAAAATCGTTCTCAAATAAATCCATAGAATACCAAATAAAAGCCAAAATCGAGAGAAATAAAAATGGCCCTAGGAATGGCCACATTCTGTAAGGTCAAATCTAATAGTTCACAATAATACACGCAAGGTGCATAAAGCAAAGTGGTCGCTTTTGAAAGTAAGAGAGCTGTTAGACATTTTTGGGTAGGTAACTTGTCCAATATTTCTCCAATAATACTCAAATACAGAATTGCATACCTAGCTGAAGGGAGTATACCTATAAACCCATATTTTTTTTAAGATACGAATTTTTTGTTTCAAAAAATATATCCTTGAGGCATTTCGAAATTTTTATACCTTTAAATTTAATATTAGAAGAAAAAAAATAATTACCTAAGGAAGATTATTTAGTCTGGTTTTACACTTTACTAGGTGCTTGATTGAATTTAATTAGAAGATTTATTTATTTATAATTGATTAACAATGAATTTATGACAGTCTTGAAATTAATTGATTTATAACAGCAAAATATTATTTATCACTCACATCTGCACAATTTATACCATCGCGAACTATATTTATTGCTTCGCCGTTGAAATTGGAACTAACTGAATCGCAACTCGGTTTGATTATATAGCGAACGCTTCCGAACGCATATTGTATAATAAAACACGTCATATTTCCCGGAAAGATTGCGTTACATCTGCCTTCGTTCTTTATCGCCGATGACTCTCATGGCGCTTCGATATGTATCGGAATATCTGGAATACATAAGAAACAAAATCTTAAAACCCTACAGAACCATACTAGGAGCTACCGTTACAATACCTACCAATTTATTTCAGCTATCTCGTCTAGCAGGTCCTGGAACAATAGTACTCCCACAGCACAAATCTGTAAGAGACGCTAGAAATAATGTTTCCAAGATTTCAAATTAGGTTTGGCCCAAGATGATTTTTTTAGGATTTTGAGTCATAGTGTCAAAACTAGCCCCCTGGCGGAGAAGGATTCAACTAAATTAACTGTATTGATTCTCATTGCCCAAGGAATGCTCTTTTCAACCATACCAAATTTGTTAACATCGGTCAAACGGTTAAGAAGTTAAAGCAGGTTATTGCAAAAACAATACCATACCATGTTTGTGTTTGGAATGACTGAGTTTTTCCAAATTTAAGATGGCAGTTACGCCCTCTGTTGGTCAATGTTAGAACTTGAAAATATTTTCCAGCGATTCTTCATGACCGATTTACCAAATAATTTTTTTTACCCCTAAGTCATATGACGAGCGGTTCTCGAGATATAGCCGAGGAACAGTCTTATTGGGTCACCCGGTACATATTAAGCCTGTACCGACCTAGTTCCGTTTACAGGGGTTATAAACCCCTCTTATAGAAAATAAATTGTATTCTCTACGGCACTGGTAAAAACTTTACTGTAACAATAAATTTTTTGTAATGAAAAACAATACACGGCTAACTCAGTAATGAATAAATGTTCAAAAACTTTTACATTGCGGAAAGTTAGTTCTTTATATCGACTAACAATCTGAAAATTAAAACCTGGTGCCCTGGTTTGATCACGCTCAAATAAGTACTCATATAAATTGAGTTGTTTAATTATACTGTTGAAAATAAAATCGTTCCAACTCCAGTTTACTTTACATTTTTCATGATAAATCTAATTAATTGGATAGATTTTTTTAAATATTCGTATGAATTAATTAACACTTGGTACAAAACTCAAAATTCCACTCAAAATAAATTTACACGCTTAAAATTCAATTTCACCATTATAATGAGAAAGACTACCAATATCTTTGCTTATTCACTTGTCGTTCATAAAAAATGGTTTACGGAATAAATTCCCGTAAATTGGCCTCTTCAGGAATGTTAGAATGACTTTATATGTAAATTCCTAAGACAAAATCCCCAAAAACGCTCGGTTCAAATCACAAATGAATGAGTACATGTTATATTTCTGATTAGAAACAACTTGCCTGCTTATTTTTTTTAGTACAGCTACTTTTATAGAAATTTATAATCAGGTAATATAAATGTTTGCCTCTCATTGATAAGGTATCGAATGCGATTAATGAAGGCAAAAACATAAGCTTTAAGATGAACGTTTTAATTTTTTCTATCAAAAGTAAGAAAAATGAATTTGAACAAATATAAAGTCGCTTTTGCTCTCTTTTCAATGCCAATGAAAAAGTATCCTCGTGTAAACACTTCCATATGACCCAATAACATATATTTCAATTTTGAGCGATATATCTCAAAAATTGCAGGAGATATAAAGAAAAAATCTTGAAATTTTAACACCCTGTAGATCAGTGTCGAAGCGTTTGCGGATCTATGTTTATATTAAATTTTAGTTATAATAAAATGAATCAAATAATAAATCCCTTCCATATTTACTTCATATACTATTTATGAAAATATTTGTGCGAATAAAAGTTAGGATTTTTGTTTGTCGGTTCATTGATTAAAATTAATTTAGAAATACAGTAAATGATAGTTTGATAAATGAGATCCACTTGGCAATGTTAAGGTTAAAACTGAAAAAAATTCCGTTTTATTTATTTTTACATTATGTTGTTCATTATATAGTAATCAATCATTCAGCAGATTACTGACCGAAAACTTTCCATAATACGTCCTTTCATAACACTTCGGGAGCTCGTGACAAAAAATATAAAAAATCGTACACCTTACTCCTTGCGTGGGTGTAGGTACTTATTGAAATTACTGTTCGGGGGAGTTCCGACGCAAGGGTAAAGTGAGTAAGGGTGTCTTAAAAAGGGGTTTTAATTTAGGTAATTATTTTATTAAATTGTGTATGTCGTTAACATAATAATAATAATATTCCTCTGGCAGAACTTTACAGACAACTGCTTTGTTTGGCTGAGCAATGAAGGTCGCACTGTTAGAGTACAGAGTGTGACTTCCGTTTTGAAATTTGGATCGTATTTCGTATTGTAACTAAAAGTAACGTATTTATGTAAAATTGGTTACCCATTGATGAATTTATGATAGTTAATTATTATGAACCATTTACTTGTACTCACATTTAGAATACGAAAACTTATAGCGCGAGCACGGATTTCACTATTTATCACTTCGGCGTTGATATGAAAACCAAAACTACTCACAATTTAATTTATTTATATAGCATATTTTCTCAAAAAATCTAGAGAGCATATATTTCGCAGAAAGAATGAGTTACATTTGAGACTCGGTTTTCTATTATATTAAAAACATAAACTCCCGGACAAATGCTGAATCTTTGTCTGTGCATCCGTCTCAATTAACAAGATAACTTAAAAACGATTTTTACGACTTTTATAAATTATTTTTGTTTTTAAAATTGTACCAGAAGTATAGAATTTAATATCTTTCGTTTTGTTAAAGGGCACACAGAAAACCATAGCCATACGTCGTGAAGATCAGAGCGTATGGGAAAGAAGGGCACCATTTTCTCCGCTCCATGTCAGAAAATTGGTGAAGAATGGCGTGCGAGTTATCGTACAGCCAAGTAACAGAAGAGCCTATCCGATGCAAGCGTACTTAAATGCAGGAGCAATCATTCAAGAAGACATTTCCGAAGCAAGCATCATATTCGGTGTCAAGCAGGTTCCTATCGATCAGTTGATTCCCAATAGAACGTTTTGCTTTTTTTCTCACACGATTAAGGCGCAAGAAAGTAATATGCCACTTTTGGATGCAATTTTGGAACAAAACATTCGGCTTTTGGATTATGAGAAATTGGTAGACAAGAAAGGACAGCGTGTCGTTGCATTCGGGAAGATGGCAGGAGTGGCCGGAACGATCAACATACTTCATGGACTAGGCCTTCGTCTTTTGGCGCTCGGCCATCACACACCCTTCATGCACATTGGACCTCCACACAATTACCGAAACTCCAGTATGGCAAGGCAAGCGGTACGTGATGCTGGATACGAAGTTTCTCTAGGATTAATGCCAAAATCTGTCGGTCCACTGACCTTTGTTTTTACCGGTTCTGGTAATGTCTCCCAAGGTTCCCAAGAGGTATTCCAAGAACTCCCACACGAATACGTTCCACCGGAGTTATTGCAAAAAGCGGCGGAACATGGTAACCCAAATAAAGTGTACGGCTGTGAAGTTAGAAGGCGACACTACTTAGAACGTATAGGAGGGGGAAAATTTGATCATGTGGAGTATGAAGAACACCCCGAAAGGTATGTCTCAACCTTTAGTAAGAAAATTGCTCCGTACGCCTCTGTGATCATAAATGGTATTTATTGGGCGGTGGATAGTCCAAAGCTGCTAACAATCCCAGATGCTAAAGTCTTACTACGTCCCGCTTACACACCGTGGTTACCCACTTCAATGGGGGCGCCAGCTTTGCCACACCGCATGTTGGGCATTTGCGATATCTCAGCAGATCCCGGCGGTTCCATCGAATTCATGAACGAGTGCACCACAATTGACACACCTTTCTGTCTATATGACGCGGACAGAAATAAGGACACAAAAAGCTTTAAGGGCCCAGGCGTTTTAGTCTGCAGTATTGATAACATGCCCACGCAACTGCCTAGAGAAAGTACCGATTTCTTTGGCGATCTGCTTATGCCATTTACACCTGATATTTTACAATCAGACGCTTCCAAACCTTTGGACAGTCACCACTTCTCGCCCACCATTCACGGGGTAAGAGCTCCGCGTCACGATTTATACTTAGGTATCTAATTGTAAATTCGCAGGCCATCATCGCTAGCGACGGAAAATTGACACCTAATTTCGAATACATCAGAGATTTGCGAGAATCAGCAATGTACGTAACTGATCATAATTCCATAATCTTGTACTAATTCGATCTTGCAGAAGGAGCCGCCAAAAAGAGTCGGCACAAGGCAAACCTGAAAAACGAGTGGTCATTTTTGGCGCCGGTCGAGTTGCAGCGCCTCTTGTTGAATATCTCCACAGAAATCCATCGATAGCGATAACTGTTGCTTGCGAAAACAAGGAGTTAAGCGACAACTTGGCAAAGACCTTCCCGGGAGTGGAAGGCGTTTATTTAAACGCCCTCGAAAGTGTCACCGGTGTACAGGAATTGGTTGCAAACGCAGATGTTGCCGTTTCCATTTTACCGAGAGATCTTCATCCCATTGTCGCCAAAGCTTGTATCCGTGAAAAGACGAACATGGTAACTGCCAGTTATGCGAAGGATAATTTAACCTGCTTACATAAAGACGCGGTTAACGCTGGAATTACGATACTCAACGAGGTTGGCTTAGATCCCGGCATCGATCATCTTCTAGCACTAGAATGTATGCACGAAGTAAAGGCTTTGGGAGGAAAAATCGTTTCGTTCGAATCGTTCTGTGGTGGACTACCCGCGCCAGAATTTAGTGACAACCCATTACGATATAAATTCTCCTGGTCACCTCGTAGTGCTTTAATTAACACTTTGTCAGAGGCAAGGTATATTTCTCATGGTGAGAAGGTCGTAATCAACGAAGGAGGGGAACTGATGGAAACGACGCGATCTCTTAATTTCCTGCCCGGGTTCAGTCTGGAAGGTTTTCCAAACGGGGATAGTACAAAGTACGCGAAATATTACGACCTGCCCGACGCGAAAACGCTTTTACGTGGAACTATACGTTACAAGGGCTTCACCGACGCAGTCCGCCATTTGCAATTTTTGAATTTACTCGATCCAAATGATCATCCCATTCTTCACGATAAAGGACCTGAAATTACGTGGAGGCAATTAATTTGTCATTTGATTGGCATACAAGATCATAACATAATTTACGAAAATTTAAAAGCGAAAATTGCCGAGCACTCTCAATCCAACGAGGCGGTCACAGTTTTGGAAGATTTGGGTCTTCTTACCGATGCTAAGGTTGTCAAATGCGGATCTCCATTAGATACATTAACTTATCACCTTTCTATTAAACTGAATTTACGTAAGAATCCTAAACTTCTCACCTTAGCCCTAACAACATTTCTTTTACAGAGAATGACGAAAGGGACCTTGTAATTTTAAGACACGACATTGGCATTCTTTGGCCAGATAACAAGCGAGAAACGCGCGGAATCAACTTTGTAGTCTATGGTGACGTGAACGGAAATTCAGCAATGGCAAAAACCGTTGGCTATCCAGCTGCAGTTGCCACCAAAATGGTTTTGGACGGTAATGAAGTTGAATAACTTTAGTTTTTGTATTCAAAACTGTCATTTTTAGGTGAAATTCAAGAACGAGGCGTAATCTTACCTTTCGCTCCGGAGGTGTACCGACCTATACTATCGAGGCTCAGGGCAGAAGGACTAAACAGTACAGAGACCTCAAAGTTTCATTAAATTTCTGCGAACGAAGTATTGTTGTGTAAGAATGTAAGTTATCAAAGCGATGAATAAACTTGTGATTTTTGTTTTAATCGTTCATTGAAAATCCGTCATGAAAAGACTCTTTGCATTAAAACTAGTGTGTATATAGGCTCTACCAAGCATCATAGGTTGATGCCCGAAACCCTTCATAACTAAAAAATTAGAACTGAAATATTATACTGCATTATAAGCTTTCGGTATTGAAACACTTGGCGCTTGGGGTCCATCTGCAAAAAAAATTGCTTCAGAAATTTGTAAAAAATGTTTTGAACTCAAGAAAAACGTTGTTTTGAATTTTTAAAACAAAGATTCAGTTTAGCTGTTCAGCAGGGAAATGCGGCTTGTATTTTAAGCACTCTACCGCCACAGACGGCATTTAATGAAATTTTTTATATTTTAAGTATACGGTAAATTTTTTTAAAAAATGTTTTTAAACAATTTTATTTGCAATATGTTAATGTTGTAACCTTTTGTTAAATTCATAAATATAATATTCTAAAACCTAAAAAAAGTTTACAATTATCTATAGCTAAAGGCATTAATAATAAGCTATAGACACCGCAAGAAACATTTTTTTTAAATCGTGTTTGAGAGATAGCCATATTTATAAGGCGCTAAAGAAACGCAGTCAAGCGTCAACAATTTTGAATATCTTGAAAACCTTTGATCCTGGGTATAGGGAAATGTGGTATCAAACGACGTAGGTTTTCATGTAGATTTCGAAAATACAATAAAATATAGGGTGTTCTATTTTAAATAAGAATGTTACTATCCACATCCGGTAAAACCGGAAGTGAAACCATCATGATAATATTTTCTTTCGATAGATCATGAAAAACTATGTTGGTATGCAAGCTTTCACATTTAAATTATTAATGGAAGTCTGAATGCTTTTAGGTAACAGTTTACGTGGAACAGCCTGTATAAACGGCTAGTCGACACAGATATAGGTATAAAAATCAATAGAAGCAGAGAAGTGGAAAAGAGGCAGAGAAGTAAACTTTCTTCTTCCATAGCAACGAAACAATACTTCCAGGTCGATAAAGTTAGCATCTCCACTCTGCCCAAATCAAGTAAACATATGCCTATAATTTAGGACTAATTAAAGACTAATTTGTACCCACAAAATTAGAATTTGTACCCGCTTAGTTCTGCCGGAAAACCGATTTTTAAAGTGGGGGTGCTAACTTGAAATCAAGTTAGCACCCCCACTTTTTCCGATTGCAATTTTATTAATCGCATTAAAAACTATGAATTAAAGACTAATTTGTACCCAAATTAGATTTTCATTGTTCAAACAATTTATACATTATTTAAACAATTTTTTACTAAAAAACGGCAATTTTCAGAATTAATAGAAATAAATGGAAAGTATAAATTAAAGACTACTTTGTACCCACAACATTATAATTTGTACTCGCTTAATTCCGCTGGAAACCCGATTCTAAGGTGGGGTGTGCTAACTTGAAATCACCGTTGGAAGTATGGGAGCCTCGAAACAATAGTGTCACAATTTCTGTTCTGTTTCGCCCGTGCAGAGGTAAATGCCGGATGCTTAGCGGCATTCATCTCGAAATACAACTTTAGACTAAAGTTATCGTATCCAGAACCTTCACATACCTTCTGGACTGGAGAACGTCCGGCTAATTAACAATTTATTTCATGTACTTTAGTAAGAGACTTTGGAATGTTATTTTTCACAAATGGGAAAGGAATGGAGTTGCTTTGAAATCTATTTAAGCTGGCCATTCTTTTGCTTATCAAATGTATTAAATTATCGTCAGATTTAAATTATTCAAATTCAATGAATACTTCCTTGGATTGTTAATTTATGTATATTGTAGATGGGATGTAAAAAGTGTGTTTATCATTTTCCACAGTTACTTCTCTTGCTCCAAATTTTCCCTCTATTGTATCTATCTTTTTGTGAATATGCCAAGAACCATCCATTGCACAAAAACTAAGTATATCATTTATGAAGAAGATAACATTTCATACAATTTTCAATCAAAAACAGCTCTGTATCAGGTCCCGATATATGGCCTTTCAAATATTAAATATTAAATAATAATAAAAATTGCGACTAATAATTTATTATATTGCTTATCGATCTCCAAGTAAGCTACATGCTTAAATCTTAGCTTGCTACGCTCAGTATCGGAAGAGTTTTATATACATACTATGTAATTAACAAAGCTATTTACATCTTTAATAACGGCTACCTGTTCTAGCTACGTTTCGGCATAGTGTTACACTAAGGTTTCAGGAACGCGTTTGCCACGAATTTCTGGCAACCTGCATTGCTCCTGAAACTGTTCTGGAAGAAGGCGTTTCTTTTATTCGACCCCGGCAAGGGCAGGAAGTATATCGTGCTAAATGAAAGTAAGACTCTAAACTAATAAACAGATGACTAAAAGTGCAGTTGGGAATTTTTGGAAAAATACCTATATCGAATTTGAAGAGCTGTATTTCTGGACCTACTTATAGAGCTGGCTTAAGTGTCAAGTGTACGTAGTATCTGATTTAAAAGAGAGTGGCAGAATATTTTCTGTGCAATCGATAACTCTCAAGATATTTGAAAAATTGAAAAGATCGACGGTTTCCGCCACGTCTCAGCTAGCACAGGTCTTTGGAAGTTGAAAACTATCCTAACGACACAATAAAACTTTGCTGTGGCTAGCACGGATACCACCCGCACATCTGCGCATGCGTAATTCTGCCTCTTTCTTTTATGTCTATGAATATGCGTACAAAATTTGGTTCCAATCGGTTCAGCCGGAAATGAGAGTATAGACTAATAGACGGACAGAACGACCGACATTATCGAGATTTTGCTTGATTCGGATTTCTGATGCTTCAAAACGTGCATTTCCCTAAAAAAAGGTGGGGGGTCATGTTTTACACCAATGCAATACATGATTAAATTCCAATGTTTGCTTTTTTGTCTTATCTGACTGGCCTACTTGTTAATATGTAGACGTTATTTAAGTTGTCTAATGCTTTGTCCATTTAAAAGGATACACAAGAAAATTGTGCAATATGTCAGAATCTCTTCGTAGATTACGTTGTATGTTGTGTGTTGCACTTGCATAGCAACCCGGGCAATCGATATCATTGTTGTCCGTCCGTTTGTATGTTTGCAGCTGTCTGTGTATTGGAATTCGAAACTCCTAATTCAGAAAGTACCCTGGCGAATTCAATAAAGCTTGCTATATAGATTAGTAATTAATAAGCTAAAACTAACGCCAAGTATTTTCCAGAGTCCAGATGTCAACTTCCGGTGGTAGGGTCAGAGGTCAAATCAAATCCTGGAACGCGCCGTTCTTGGAAGAGCAGGGCACAATGAAAATTCCATATTTTCGCATTTTTTCACTTCTGACACACCTAGTTACTACGTATTTACTAATATTGATTTCTTGTGGTGGGTGAATTGTTATTTTATTTTCGATATGGCCACCCCCAATTGCAATATCCTGTAGATGATTATCAACATGTAGGCAACTTACTATACAGCAAAAGACCGTGCTGCCCTCTATCGGCATTTATTGTAAAAAAAGATAGCTGTCACAGTCACAATTCAGAGATCACAGTACCGTAAGGCTATTGTGTTTTTGTGGGGTCGTGAGTTTAGAAATGGTGTCTGATATACGTTTTTGTGCAAAACAGATTATTAAAATTAGTTAAGTGACCTCAATAAACGTTTAATATTAAAAATAAGGCTGTGTAATAATGGAAGATAGTGCAGAATCTAACTTTAACCCCATTTCCCAGGGGTGTGGCCCACATTCACAAATTTCCATCCAAATAAGTCCCACGACAGGCGGCGACTTCCATCTAACTGTTGATCCCGATATAACCGTCGAGAACGTCAAAAAACTAATTTCAAAGAGGCTGAAAGTACCGAGAGATCGTATATGTTTACTATTTCGTGATAAGTGAGTTCATTTCGACTATACACGCTAGAAGATCTCATTGTTGCTAATTACAGACAGCTCCAAGAGGGCAACCTTCTTCAGCACGGAGTTACGGACGGATCCAAAGTTACGCTGCTGCCCAACGTTGAAACGGGACTCGTTGTAGGTTTTAACACTTTTTTGGTATTTATTTCTATTTTTAAATGCTTGAGGTGGTTCTTAGCGGGAATGACGCCAAGTGAAATTGGTAGACCTTCACTTTTGTTGTGACTTGATAAAGTGTGCAAATATGATAACATTCCCATTAAATTTCTATCGAGAACACTTATCAACAAAACAATCATACAATGTAGGTCGTTTTAAACTACTTTATTTTAATGTTTTGGATTGAATGAAATTACTTTGTTTTAATCAAAGAAAAACATACTGCACATCCGTTTACAAGTGTATGCAGTTTATTAAGCTACATACATTTTGTAGGTACGTTAACAAACAAATGATCGTAGGGTAAACTAAACTTCAATAATGTACCATACGTATTTCAACAGACAAACCACATATGTTGTGGTAACTACTTTATTTTCAATGGACCCTCTGTTAGTGTTGACCTGAAGTAATGCATACTTTGGGTTCAACCTCGGGTTCAGCAATGAAATAGTGCACTAATAATTAACTTATGCTGACTAGATTTAGGTGTGCTCTCGGGTGTGCTTTATTAATCAAATTGCCATAGAAACTCTTCTTTAAGTTTAGAAGACAAGTTACTTTAGTTAGAGAGAGACAATGTCTGTTCTCTGCAATCGTTTTTTAAGCATTAAGCACCTCGTTAAGCACTTGTCATGTTCACGGTAGCAGTAGTGAACGTTCCCCTACAGGTCTTTACAAATTACAATTTCAAATTGGGCTGATAAATTTTGTGATAGTTACAATCGAGGTTACAATTATTGGCACAACTGTTTCCCTCGCTGTTTCCATAGTAATTTTTACCAACCTTATAAATTTAGTTGAGTTTTCCCAAGAGTTTTCCCAAACCTGCAAGGGTAAACCCGGGTGTATACCAGAGCTGAGGTTGATTCGAATCCGAGTTCGAATCACTTTGGATTTGAATCTTGGATTTAAACAATTTTGTAATTCTTTTCTCCTCGCTTTTCTCTATCGAGTAAAAATCCAATAAGTGCTTAGAAATAATACCTATCTACAAGAAAATTGATGGCTCAGTCCCAAAAATGACATTTTTCGGTTTTTTGACCATAACTTCACTATTTCTGGAATTACAAGAAACTTCGAAAGGGAAAAGTAATCACCATAAAATTCTACATAACTTAGCCTCCTTGAAAAATTATCACCAAATTACTAATGGTTTAACCAAGGGTTTAACAATCTGGGGGAGAGTCTAAGACCGGGGTATTCCCCCCAGCCACACACAGGTGTACGTTCCCGGCTTTCGGAATATTTTTTCTTGGAATGTGTTTGCCTGGGGGGTATTCCATACCCCTCAAACCCCCCAGGCTTAGACTCTCCCCCAAATTAATAAACCTTTAGTACTTTTGTGATCATTTTTTAAGGAGGATCATTGAATTTTTATTATTTATTACGAGATTTATTATTACCACCCACACGTTAGTATAGGGAGATAGATAGGTATTGCATTGGGGTAAAAAATGACCTCTCTCTATCTTTGGACATAAAAGGGCAGAATCGCGCATGCGCAGGTGGTATCAGTGCTAGCCACAGCAAATTTTTTTTAAGTGTCTTTGGTGACAACACAGCAGCAGGGTAATTTACTTCGGAATTTACTTAAAGGTTTAACAATCTGGGGGAGAGTCTAAGTCTGGGGGGTATGTAATAGTTATCAGGCAAAAAGAGTTCGATAGCCCGCCCTAAAAAGTGATCACAAAATGAGTTAAAGGTTTAACAATCTGGAGGAGAGTCTAACACCGGGGTATTCCCTCTAGCCACACCCAGGTATGTTCCTGGAAAGATCAGCTTTCAGAACTCCAATGACAATTCATATTTTTTTCTTGGAATGTATTTGCCTGGGGGGTATTCCATACCCCTCAGACCCCCCAGGCTTAGACTCTCCCCCAAATTAATAAACCTTTAGTACTTTTGTGATCATTTTTCAAGGTGGATCATTGAATTTTTATTATTTATTACGAGTTTTATTATTACCACCCACACGTTAGTATAGGGAGGTAGATAGGTATTGCATTGGGGTAAAAAATGACCTCTCACTTTTTTGACGGAAAGGCACATTTTAGAGCACAAGGAATTCGAATCAAACAAAATCTCGATGATGTTGTTCGGTCTCTGTCTGTCTGTACTTTCATTTCCGGCCAAACAGCTGAAGCTCGGGCTGAACCGATTGGAACCAAATTTTATACACACATTCTTAGATGTAAAAGTAAGAGCTGAAACACTTTTGGGCAGAATCGCACATGCGCAACTGTGTCACTCTCATTTCAGGCCTTGTTTCCGGCTGAACCGATTGGAACCAAATTTGGTACACATATCTTTAGACATAAAAGGGCAGAATCGCGCATGCGCAGTTGGTATCAGTGCTAGCCACAGCAAATTTTTTTTAAGTGTCTTTGGAGACAACACAGCAGCAGGGTAATTTACTTCGGAATTTACTTAAAGGTTTAACAATCTGGGGGAGAGTCTTAAGTCTGGGGGGTATGTAATAGTTATCAGGCAAAGAGAGTTCGATAGCCCGCCCTAAAAAGTGATCACCAAATTACTTAAAGGTTTAGCAATCTGAAGGAGAGTCTAAGACCGGGGTATTCCCTCTAGCCACACACAGAAGGAACGGCTTTTGGAACTTCAATAAAAATTCACAGAATATTTTTTCCTGAAATGCATTTGCCACGTAATACAACTGTAAATGATGAGTAACAGGCAAACCAGACCATGCAGCTATCAATTAGCGAAAACCTGAAGTCTCTAGGTGGCTCAGAGACCGAAATCTTGATGGAACAGACAGACAGACAAACGATTGAAAATCGAGCACATAAGCGTTACCTCAACGTCGTTTGTGTTACGCTAAAAACGAGGCTAAAAATCTCTATAAGTAGGTCTGCCCATGCGTATACTTAATTGATGCTATATACGATATGTTTAGCCGAGTGTTTAGCTTTACTAGAAGCATCTATGGAGAAAATTCCAAGAAATATCTTCATAAATAAGAAATTGGGCATTGCTCAGTTTGCGCATGCGCACACCTGAAACTGATTAAAATTTCAAAAAATATGCGGTATGTTTTCCTTTACTAGCAGAATCGATAATCTCTTGAAATCGACAATCACTTTGCGCTCGAATTACACACAAGATTTTTTCTACACAGTTCACCTATTTCCAAAAATTTTAATTTTTCAATCAAATGAAAGATGTCATTTACTCGTTGTCATTGGATACTCTGAGCAATGCATATTTGATTTAATAAATGTAATACTGTGAAGTATTTGGGGGTCATGTTAGACAGCCGCCTAAGGTGGGATACTCAAATTCAATACCGAACCAACAAATTAAGAAAACTAATATATCTTTTTAAATCTATAAACAGTGTAATGAGTGTCGCTTCCAAGAAAATGATTTATTACGGCATATGTCAATCTATAATATCGTATGGGATATTAACATGGGGGTCAACACCAGATGTTTACATGAGTCGTTCGTTTGTTTATTGTCCAAAAACTAATTTTAAAAATATTATTTCGAAAACCGTTAATGCTATCATCAGAACCTTGCCACCTATTATAGAAAAAAATCTGACATGAAGCGACTATCTGGGTCGCACAAAGGATTCTTTAAAGAAACTAAGTTGTTTTCTATTTATCATCTTTATATACTCACCTTATTAAAATACATCTACAAACGCAAGTCTACACTGCTTAATGTTCCTACTCACAACTACACTACAAGATTTAAAACTTTAAGTTTATCTTACAATGTAACAGTTAACAAACAAATTGCACAAAAAAACTTCACTTTTCATGTAGTCAACGTCTATAACCATTTTCAACTAAAGTACAATATCTCCTCGTTGACTCAATGAGTATACAAGAGGTTCGAAACATTCTTTTACTTCAAATTTAATTTAACTATTAGTCCTTACTTATCATCTTTCCCTTTATCTTATTTATTTTTATTTTTAGCTTATTTTTACTTTGTTTCTTATTTTTTTTTTAACTTTTATTTTTTTTGTAATTCTATTATCAAGTTATTCACCTTGCACCTGACAAAAGATATTAACAAGTTTTTAAACTTAGATATCTGCTGCAGGTATGAATTCAGTGTTGATGTATATATTTTTTTCTCTTTTCTTTTTAATGTCCAATGTACCCATGTTTGTGTGAATGAAACTCCGTAGATTTTATACATTTATATTTTGTAGTATAGTAATTTTTAAGTTTAAAGTGAAAAATATTTTGTTGTTTTTTATGTACAAATAAATGGCTTATTATTATTATTATGGTCGGTGGTTCTTGTGAGAACTCAGGTCTAGCCTGGTTAAATAATCGCACGGATTAAAATCAAGTAACGATTAGTGTTATTATTATTATTATTATAATTGGGAGAGCAAGCGTTTTTTTTATTTAGTCACTTACAAATCGACAGAGTGACATTTCTCGAAAAAGATGACGTTTGCGTTGTCAAATACGAGCGCAAATGTCTATTTTGAATATCGATTGTACAATCGATATCCAAAGTAGGCATTTGCGCTCGTATTTGACAACGCAAACGTCATCTTTCTCGAGGAATGTCACTTTGTCGCTTAAAAAACGCTCGCTCTCCCAATTATTAACTATAAATCAAATATGCATTGCTCAGAGTATCCAATGACAACGAGTAAATGACATCTTTCATTTGGGCATAAGATTAAAATGATTTGAGTGAAAAATTTAAATTTTTGGAAATATGTGAACTGCTCGATTGTAGAAAAAACCTTGTGTGTAATTCGAGCGCAAATTGATTGTCGATTTCAAGAGATTGCCGCGCTCCTTCGTCGCGCGTCAACTGTCTCTTTCAATCGACAATATATCATTTTGCGCTCTTAATACACAAATAGCTATTTTCTACAACTTATTTCGTAACACACTGTGCAAATTCTATGGTAGAACATCCCTATTCTATGTTTTTCGAGACTTAAGGTGGGTTCTCGCTTATTTGAAGAGATGCAATAAGCAATGTAGTTTAAATTGTCGTAACTTTGCGTATTTTGGTGCCCAATAATATGCAGTTACGAAAATTAGGATGTCTTCAGAGGTTGCCGAGATTTTTGAAAAAACTGAAATTTTCAATTTTCGGTTTTCTCTTTTATTTCGAAAACGACAAAAAGTTTAAACCAAAACGTTTTTTAAAACACTTTTTCATGAGGAATCCAAATATGTTAATCGAAAAATTCAAGGCACTCTAGACTTGGAAGTTACAAACTCTCCCAAATTTCTATGTAAATATAAAAAATAATTTTGAGCAAGTTGTTGCCTTTCAGACTCGCTTTCAGAATACCGCTCTAAGTATGTTTGTGCAATAATATGGGCATTTCGGTGCGAAGCGTAATGTATTTTTAACATATCTCGTTTTTCTTCATTTGAAAACGTCTTTATCGAGAAAGATGTGTATTTGTTAAACAAAAGAATACATATTCTTTCCAAAGCACTCTTCGTAAAAACCGTTTTTCCATATTTTGAGGGAATCTTAAAGTTGAAACATATCATATGAATCATATGATACATTGTTGTAATCAGAAAAACGAGTTTTATTCAAAAATGCTAAAATACAATATGGCTGCCATAAGAAATAAACAAGTTAAAAAGTAATCGTAAACGATTTACATAAAACGCATTTCCACTTGCATTCATTTCCTATTTGTAAGATGCAACTTTTGTTAAAATTGTAAAAATCCGGCCACAAATATGAAAGATAGCGTTGCACATGTGCAACCCATTTTTGACGTGCTACTTCAATTTCAGTTTATAAGAAGAGTTTCATTTCAATGGTTTTCTAAATAATAAAGTTGGAACTGCGCATGCACAAACCTAAATTTTGAAGCTAACGTTAGATTTTCCTTTGTTCCAAGTGGCTATGTATCAAATTTCATTTAAATACGTACTTTTATAATTAAAAAAGTTTGCAATTCGGTTTATAAATGGTCGAGATGCGAAAAGGGCACTGTGAATTTTGAATCGATTCAACTCAACTTTTGGCATTGCGTATTATATGGCTGAAGCTATGCCCATATTGAATTTCATGCAATTCAGTTCATAACTAACGGAGATGTAAAAGCGATCGGACATTTCTAAAGAAAGTTATCGTTCACACGGACAGATAGAGGGGCAGACAGACAAAGGAACAGACGGACAGATCAACAGGCAGACGACAGACAGCAATGCAAAATTATAAACGATCTTTAGGATCGTTAATAAACGGCAAAAGTGAAAAATTATGGAACATGTAAAAAACGGTTTTTTGTTTTTTTACAATAAGTTTTTTTTGTAAGCGGTACAGAAAAAATTCCTTCCTTGGTGCAAGACTCGACACCATAACGAACCAAATAGCGAAAGAAGTAGAATAAATAGCTCTTAAGATAAAAAAACTAGTAGCGTCTCAAAACGAGCGGACGGATACGGACGGACGGACGGACAAAGTGGCTACAATAGCGCATTTTTAGCGTAACACAACGAAGTTGAGGTAAAGCTTATGTGCTCATGTTTCCGTCCGTCCGTCCGTTCCATCGAGATCTCGGCCCCTGGGCCACCTAGAGACTTCGGGTTTTCGCTAATTGATAGCTGTTATGGTCTATATTTGCCCAATTCGATCAGTTTCATTTAACTCCATATTTTGCGCAGACTGCGCAATGCCAACTTTCATATTTATGGGGATATTTCTTTGAAATTTTAACCACAGGCGCTTCTAGTAAAGGTAAACATTTCGCACATAGTAAAAATTATGTGGGCATGCGCAGTGATTGCGCAATGCCAACTTTCTTATTTATGGAGATATTGCTTTGAAATGTTAACCACAGGCGCTTCTAGTAAAGGCAAACATTTCGCACATAGTAAAAATAATGTGTGGGCATGCGCAGTGATGTGTGGGCATACTGCGCAATGCCAAATTTCTTATTTATGGAGATATTTCTTTGAAATTTTAACCACAGGCGCTTCTAGTAAAAGTAAACATTTCGCACATAGTAAAAATTATGTGGGCCTGCGCAGTGACTGCACAGGCTGCTCATAGCCAACTTTCTTATGTATGGCAATATTTCTTTGAAACTTTATTTTACTTATTTAACTCCTCTCTTTCTCTGGACGTGGACGTGCTTCAATATGCAGATTTGACATTTGCTTTTGGTGACGATACGTCGTTTCAATACTTTGTGTTACGCGGTAATACCCACGAGTGGGTTTTGGAACATTTTTTTTTTATTTTTGCGGAAAAGCGCTAAAAAGTTATCTACTGAAACTTCCAAGTCTAGAGTGCCTTCCATTTTTCAATAAAATATTTGGATTCCTCACAAAATAGTGCTTTAATAATGTTTTAGTTTAAAACGTCGACTTTTTGCCGTTTTCAAAATAGAAGGAAAAATTGAAATCAAAAATCTCTGCAATCTCTGAAGACATCGATATTTTCGTGATGGCATATTATTGGATACCAAAATACGCAAATTTGCACCGATTTAAACTACATTGCATCTCTTCAAATAAGTGAGCACAAAAAACGGGCACCCTGTATACTACGAAGACTTGTCTAAGCTAATAGTTTGATTCTTTCTCAAATTTCATAAATTGTTCAAACCCGTTCAATAGGATCTAGTTTCATTTAAATGTACTTCTTCAAATTTTCTTTTGTGGTGGGGGAGAGGTCCAGTATGCTGAAATTCTTTGAATACCATGCAGTCCCATATGCTACATCCCTATACAAAAATAGGATTATCTACTTCGGAAATATTACAGTTTATTCAAATACATTTGAAAACCTAAGGCATCCGGTTTGGAAATGAAAACGTTGTATGGTATTTACACAAGAAGAGTAAGATAACAGTAACTATTTGTGGCAACATGCAAGCATATAAAATATTGAGCAGTACAGCATAAATGAAACCAAAACCACAAAATTGAAGGTCAAAATATTTTTTTAGCATTTAAGACTATACTAATTTAAGTACTTATACCATTATAAGTGAGTTGATTACGATTGTTTTTTTTTGTAGCAACAAAGGCCAGAAATAGGAATAATGCAAGCGTTAGAATCACTAAACGATACTCAAGTAAATGAATTTTTATGTGGAAAAGCACCTCTCAATCTGAGCATGCGCTTAGGAGATCATATGATGCTAATTCAACTACAACTCAGTACAGTATCCGGTGCGAAACCACCGCCCGCCTCACACCCGTCACCGCCAGTAAGACCTCCAAGTTTAACACAGGCATCGAGGAACCTCCAACACACCTTACGTCGCCTTTCAGCGGATGTTTTTTCCGGTAGAAGCGAGAGTACAAGTAAGTATTTCGTCTTACGTCAATTTGATTACGTATTGTTATTTTTTGTGCAGGTCGTAGAGGCAGTGTGTATTCTGGTACATTTAGTGGAGCACTAAATCCGGCACTTCAAGATCCAAAAGGTCGACCACGCCGAGATGTGGCCACTATAGTTCATATTCTAAATGATCTCTTATGTTCAGCTCCCGAATTGCGACGCGTGTCAAGGCAAGGAGAGGAACAATCCGAAACTATTCAACAGCAAATTGACGAGCCCACTCCTTCTTCTATAAGCGAAGATCAAAATTCACGGACGCGAGGAAAATTAGAGCACCTACGCTTAGTTATGGGCGAGAGACGCGAACGTAGACGTCAACGCAAACAAAAACCGTATTCGTTGCCACAAAGTGATACAGATACCGTAACGGCATGAACACATTTTATTTGTTGTAAATAGTTAATTATGGATCTTGTTTAAATGTGCATTTCTAACGTTTTTGTTTTCTTTTGTATTAGAATAATTATACTGAAAAGTAACATTAATAAAATTTTATTGAAAATTTACTTACCTACGATTTAGTTTTTCTCCAAATATTGTCTTTGAAAGGAATATATTTTGAAAGAGTTCCCCAAATACTGTATGTTTTTATATTTGCGGATGTGATTACTTTACACATTCTTTTAATCTCAAATGGATTCAGTATATTGCAAATGAAGATTTAATTTATATACATGTTCTTCAGGATATGAGGAAGGTCGCTATTGGTTGTCGGCTATGTAGACTAACGGGCCAAAAAGTTACAGCCCAAACCTCCTTCTTTTTTAATTCTCTCAGGTAACTTGTAAGTTGAAAAATTGCGCATGCGCAACCCAACTTGTATTTGTGCAAAAACCCCAAACCCCCCAAACGAAACGCGTTGGACCCTTGGGTTATTAAGAAAAAGTGCTTATTTTCATCTCCTCTATACCATCTAATTTTTCTTTGTATACACGGTGTTTTTTTTTTAAGATGGGCCATACGACAATGTAAAGGCGTTGAGTTATTTAAATTGGGCCATAAGGAAATTTACATTGCAACAATTGTTTCAGTCACAGCTTCCTCGCGAATCATCTGCCACAGTATTGTAGAAATTGTTTCTAAATCAACAAATTTATTCTAATGAAATAAATTACAATCGGTGCTCGAATTGATTTTCATCGACAACCAAACAATACCCGATACTGGGCACTGATAAAGTCACTAAATATAGAAAGTACCGCAATCCATTGGGCTCGTGTGTTAGAGAGAGAACGCATGATTTTTGCCCAAAAATGGCGGAAGTTACCAGATTCTAGTAACTTTAATGTTAGGGATTGTTCCACCTGTTTGGAGATATCTGTATATATTTTTATAAAACATGACAGTACTATGAAGTTAGGTTATAAAAAATGACAGCTATTCAGATTTTATTTGTCAATTTTTTTAAGTTGGCAGCAAATTTGCCCAAAAATGGCGGATGATTGCGGTACTTTCTATATCTAGTGACTTTAGGCACTGAATAGCTTGCATACCACTCAGCTACTGTGCCCACAAATTGTACTACATGAACACCTTTTCGAGCGGCGGAATACATGTTGCTGTTTCGTTGATGCAGTTTGAAGGATCAGATTGAAAACGTGAAATAACTAAGCGCAAGGCCAAGATTTGAGAACAATTGGCGCAATGTAAATTTTCCCATGGCCTATTGTAAATAACTCAACGCCTTTACATTGTTTGATGGCCCATCTTAAAAAGACACCGTGTATGTAATATTATAGCTAACATTGGTATATTTACCACAAATTGGCTGTGCTTACTATCACTCCATCCAGGTAAAATTTGACATTCGGCATATGTTGTTGAAATGAAAGGTTATGTTATTAATGTTTTTAAACGAAGTAATGTGAAGGGTACTATATTGTTTTCATTTTTGTTTATTTGGTGAATATGGACCGCAACAAAGGAAGTTCAAGTAACAGAGGGCCTAAAGGCAAAGTGACACAGCAACCTCCTGATACGTTCATTGCTCTTGGCGCAAAACCTTCCAGTTCTCGAGATGTTGATTCAAAACGTAGCACATCTCTCTCAAAGCCATCTTCGGCACATCTTCAATCAAGTAGTAGCAAAGGTCTTTTTATACATTTGCCTATTACCTATGTTATACAACGGTTTCCATTACAGTGATACCTGAAAGGAAAAGAGAAGCAAGTTCCACAAATTTACAACCAGCTACGTCTTCTAAAAAGATTAAAACAAACATTCCCGGACGCTCGCCCGCCTTGGGAACGTCACCATCACCGCACACGACTAGCGAACGTGGCGGAAGCAATGCAATCGAACCTTGGGAGAGTCTAGCGCTAGAATGTGAGGCATCAGATTTATTCGACACTGTCGCCTCGCTGACTAATGCAGGGAACACAGACAAGGCTGTAAGAGCTTCCATTTAAAATTACCAAACAATAGTTCTGTCTTTGTAGGTTGGTTATATTTTAGGGGCGATAAAATCGCTCAGAGGTCAACGTTTCAAGCCATGTAAAATTTTGTATAACAGTTTGCTATTGATTTGTCAGTGTAAACAATCGTTGTTCACTAATGATAACATTGTCAACGCAGTTGTAAGTTCAATGCGTAGAGAAATAGCGGCAGGGTTTAAGAGTCCTAATAAGGGTAACATGTATACGCAAATACTTCTGATTAATTTGATGTTGCATGCGTTTGATGATGTATTGCAGTGGCCGGACGTTTTTGTTAAGGTAAAATTTGTCAATTTGTTGCATTAATGTAATGGCCAGTTTTTCAGTTGTACGTGGAAGACGCTTTAGGAGATAGAACGTGGATTGATAATCCCTATTGTAAGCCGTTTGTCGAAAATATAGTTACTGCTTTTAACACAAAACAACCGCCAAAAGTGCTTTTTACTTCTGAGACTTGGTTGTCAACGGGAAGAGATACTTCTAGTCCTCTTACTGTGAATTCGCTGGAAGAAGATGAAGGTAAGTGGTATGGTACCATTTTCGGGTTAAATTTAACTTGTGAAGTGCTGTGAAAGCTGTTATTACAGAAGTCTCAGATGTCAGACTGTGGCTGTGTGCCAAACAAATGCATTCAAAACAAGAATGGCAATATCTGATGACAATTTTGTTAGCCATAAGTCCTTAGCACCAAAAATGACCTTTTGGCTTACTAGTTTGTGAAGCAATTTTCAATTGTTTCAAATCGTCACCATACTCTCACTTACATATGGTCATGTATTGTTTTTTCCTATGTGTACTTTTTAATGACAACATCCGTATTTTTATTTTCGCTCGTGTACGATGTATTCAACTGAAGAAAAAATTGATATTGTCAATCGGTATAGTACCAGTAGCAATTTAAGGAGTATAAGTGATTTATTTTCTGTGAAGCCAAAGGAACAATATTCAAATTATCTAATATGACAGCCAGATCTTTATTTGTTTTAAGAAAGTATTTTGATAACTTTGAAAAAATTAGGCGCCGTTCAGAAGAGATTTTGTTATTAAAAACTAGACATAGGGAAAAATAATACACATACATCCCTATGTCTAATTCTTAAATACCCACTGTACCTGTACTTACAATGGGGTTGATTCGATTATGGTGAAATTGTAGTTTTTTGGATGTGGAGTTGGAATATATAGCCGTTAGGGGTGAGTGTACATTTCAAATTGTTTTTTCGGTTCGGCGCGACCGTCCGGGGAAGAAGGGGAGGGCGCAAAGTGCACTCTGGAGATCATTTTGAGGTGAAATTACCCGTTTGTATATTCGTATAGGGTGAAGGAGAGGAAATTTGAAAAATATTTACGTTGCGCGCGATTAGCCAGGTCCGTGGTGGGCATGAATCGTGCTGAAGGCAAATTTTTGGAGAAAAAGATTATTTATTCAAAATGGCGGATTTTCCACAAGGTAGTTTTTTTGGGAATCACAACACTATACTCAACATTTTCATCAATCTTTAGCTTGTTATTAAATTTAAATATCTGGGTCAATGTCTAATTATCCTGCACTGTGTTTAGCGCGCTTTATTTCACTGAATACTTTAAGCGAAGTGGATTTCAGAACAAGTGACTTTCTCGCTAGGAATACAGTACTTGATTAAGATAGCAGACTCGTCCGCCATTTTGGAGTCCACTGACAGTCTGTCAGACACACGTCGTAATATGCCCGTTGCACACGAGCGTTCTGGCGCTAACAGAGTCAAATTCTCCGAAAAAAAGGGCCCATAGAAAGTGGCAACGGAAAACCGTCCACTTGCGATGGTTTAAGCTAGGGAAAATGAAAACGAAATTTGACATTTTCAGTTTTTTGATATCTCAGTTATGTTCAAAGATTTTTTAAAAATTTCAAAAGCGTTTATTTAGTCACAAAAAGGTGCAACTTTGACTCCTCTCGCCGCTACTGAGATCCCAATGTTGAGCCACGAATTTGAACCACCCTGTACATTCAGCTCCAATTTGTTCAATATGTATTTGACAATGCGGATTTTAATGTTCCCATTTTAACTGTGAATAAAATATCTTTGCTAAGTTACAAGCTAGTCGAAGCTTTTAATGACCTTAATAGAGGTACATCCCTCCAATTTGCTTTGGGATAGCCACAAGCGATCTGGAATAAATCCATGCAATCTGCAATGGCTCAATCGCTTAAGGATATTACCATTGAATTTAGATAAATTCAATGATATTACCAAGACAATACCTCTTCCTTTTATAAACCAAAATCCCTCTGAGAAGTCAACTTTATATTCAGCATTGGGTTTCGCAGCTGAAAGCAGAGATCAAGGCCGATCTTGTATAGTAACCCTGGATCAACCGCTGTCATGAAGTGCTGTTATTTTAATTGAACTTATAATTGACCTTGATGTCACTGGTGTGACTGAGAAACAACTGTTTCCTCGAAAGTGTTTGCCCATGAAGTGACTTGTAATGGAGCTGCAGAAAGCAACGACCTGCAAGAGTTTCTGTCAAGCTTTCAACTGCAAAAATTCAAACAGAATGTTTATATTATTAATTTAAGGTTCTCTCACTAACCGTTAGACATACGACAAAAGTTATAATGAATGAAAAGATGTATTTTTTTATGTTCTTCAACTTTTGTTACACCACTTTTTTTTAATTTCTAACGGTTCGTGAAATATGGTCAGAAAAGTGAAAATCGGCCGCCATCTTGGAAAATGGCGGCCGATTTTCACTTTTTTTACGATATTTCATTAAGCGCACAGCATGCACGAATGTTGATTTTTGATATGTTGTTACTGGCCCCTAGTACTGCATATATGCAAAGTTTCCCCTTTTAGGGAATTATCTCTAGGTAGAGGGGTATTTTTACCTAATATGATTGGCCTATTAATCTAATCTCTGTGACAGACAGACAGATAAATAAATTAACTAACTTAATTACCTCGCGTCAACGACAAGAAACACTTTACAATTAATTGTACTTTCGCAACTTCTGTATTCAGGTAATCAATTGTACACAATGGCAAAGATAAACAGCAAGATAAACTAAACGACAAAGGGTTACCTGCACATTCGCAGCTCCGGTTTTTCAGATAATCATTTGCATACCCCATTAATAAATGGGTTTCTATCTTGCGATAGAAGTAAAAAAACACATGCCATAACTAGAAACGTGGTTAACCAAACAAGGAATTTGATGAAAATAACCTCACCTCGGAAAGATATCAACAATTCCCCGTTCACGTAAAAACGTTTAGATAAATAATTTTAACTTGATGGCATTGGGTGTTCCAATTCCACATCTTTCGCAAAGAAAGTACCCCTCATTTCAACCATAAAAGCAAAAATTATGTTCCTCTTCCCATTTGCACCAACTAACACACTAAAAGCGCAATCTGTCTTATCACTGAAACCAAGGGTACATTCAACGCCGTACCTTTGGATGCACGATTTTCGTGAGTTCAAACGTTCTTTTTCGATACTCATTTCTGCTTTCAGAGGCGAAATAGACCATATAATTTTGCTCATAACAATCCGTGATGGCATGTGTCTTAACACGTTCACTGCGGTAGCTTAAAACAATAACTTGCTGTTGATGCATTACATATCGCCGGGGTATTGTAATGCAACTTTACCATAGTGCTATACATACCGCCGGGGATATGTAGACAACTGTTCAAGTAAGCCCAATCTAGTTCACCTGTGCGTAATTTTTTGAGTTCCGCAGCGTGGGGACCTGTAAGCTAACACTATTATTTATTTAATTCTGGAACTGTACATATCTCCGGCGACTGGTACCGCAAGAAAGTGAAGAAGACTGTATAACCCTAAAATTATGCAATGAATTCGAATAAAAAACATTACAACCAACACTATTTTCTGAAATTTGAGGGATATTTATTTATTCAATGTTAATACTAATATTATTATTTGTGATTAGTACGAAACATGGAAGATAGTACCCAGGTTGGCCTGGACAATCATTACAATAACTAGACTTACTAGACCGAAACTAGACTCGTTAAAACTAACTAAATGTTTACGGAATACAAAGATGATGCAACTTGCGCAATTCTGTCATGCAATATGATGCAATAACCGTAGAAGTAGCTGCAAAACTGTACATATCTCCGGGGGCATGTGCCGCACATAATTAAATTTGTATTAGTCCTGTGCGTTACATGTCCCCGGAGATATGTACCAAAAAATTCAGTAGCTTTGAATATGCAAAGAACGGCCATAAAAACGCTATACGTAAAACTTATATACGTTAAAGATCAAGGAAGATATGGCTTTCGCACACAACGAATGTTGGCAAAAGTTGGCTTCGTCACCACGGAAAGAAACCCACATATCCCCGGGGCTATGTAACGCAGTCAACGTGTTAAGTCTTAAACCGTGTAGGCATTAAAAGTATTGTGGATGTCAACACGGAAATAAACCCATTCATTTAAATTTAAACAATTGAAGGTAGACAGAATTTATCTTGTCCACATCTTTTTGTATCTATTTCGGTTTGCCCTGCGCGCAATCGTGATTTGGGTAAGAAAACTCCTTATCAAGCGAAAGTGTGATAGAGATTTTTTTCTTACGTTACGCGGCCACAAATTTGATTTCCAATTGAAGGAGTAGTCCATACACCTCTGTCTATTTTACACCGTCGCGTCATTAGCAGTAACAACTGATATTTAAAATGAAGCTTCATATTTTTAATGCGCTCATTAATACTGGAGAGCAGATCGGACTACCTCCTCAATTAACAAAAATACTAATTATTCTATTAACTGGATAACGATTATCGCGTCACACTATTATTTTTTTCTATTTCGGTGTCACAATGATGATTTTGTACAACTGTTTTCGGCCGAAAACAGTTGTACAAAGACAGTGATTATAGTCGTTTTTTTTTGGTAACTCATCTCTTAAGTTGGCAGTTACTAGTTAGTACAAGTAGGTACTTCGTTGGGTACTTCCATGTTTGAACTTCAAAATGTCAGTCTTACTACGCTGCCAACCTAAAACTTAACGGCATAAAAAGTGTTCCCAACATAAAACATGTTAGTTCTAATGTTCCCTATAGTTTCTGATAATGATTTTTTTAATTAAATTAAAGCACCGAAATAGAAAAAATAGTATGAAAAACGCGTGTTACAATGCTTTATTGTAATACTCCTATCTTGCGGACACTCGTGGCTACACTTCGCGTCGCCACTCGTGCCACAAGATAGTCGTATTACAATAGGTCGCATTGTAACACTTGTCTTTCAATATACTATTATCCTATTGCATCCAGTAATACCTACATGATGATTATTAGGTACTCTTAATTTTTAGTATTCGGTGATCACAAAGCACTCGTTGACAGTTGGAAAGTAAAGGTGTTTTCGAGGTATTCTCAGTTACAAGAGATGGTAGAAAAAATATCATTGGAAGCAATTCAGGAGCAAATCGCTAGACGCCAACAACCTGAAGCGGTAACGAAGAACTTTGTTAAATTTTTGAGCATTGCGTGCGGCCTAGTTGAAATTCGCATGCTGGCCGTATCGCGCCTGGAGAGTTGGCTGCACAACCATAAACTTATGAAGCCGGCGCAAGAATTGCTTGCTTACGTGTGCTATAATTGCTCGGCAAGAACGCAAAGAGATATCGAAGTCGTTGCTCAGCTAAGCAAACTAAGACTCAAAAGTAAGCCCTTGGTGAATATCTTCAATAATTGTTTAAAAGAAATGGTTCTCTGCTTTCCCGAAAATCTATACCCGCTGTTGAAGTACACTATTTATAATGAGCTGTCGAATGCAAGAAATACAAACAACTTGGTAGTGGTGGGGGCTATGTTTCAAGTTACTCCTGAAGCAAGTTCAGATGCTTTTGCAGATATTTGCTTGGTAAGTAAATTATTTTTTGTGTGTCAAATAGAAACTTCACAACTTCCATGTATGATTGAACAATCTTGCAATAATCGATTCCTAAATCTTAATATCCCAAATCTAAACATACTTTTGTATGTGATTATTGCAAATTGTGTCTTCATGGATGTTGGTCTTTTATTCTAGGAGCTTCTACTGAACAAAGACGATTATCTTCGTTCGTTACGGGCGTTACTAAAGGAAATCAACAGGGTACTGCGACATGATTTCAATCTACTCAGTGTGGCGCACGCGCTATTACGAGAACGGCCCGAAATAACTAATCTGGTTAGAGAGTTCGAGTTTAGAGATCGCATGTTCTTCGCATTGGCCGATCTCGTCTGCATGTGTATGTTACTGTGCGTAAGTCCGCAAGTACGTGACGCGGCCACCCAAAGCAAGAGAGACGTAAACGTTCTGCAAGCCTTCCAGTTGCAAGTCAGCAACATACAGAGAGAGGCGGTCACGTGGCTGCACGATTCCGCCGTGCGAGTATTCCGACCTTCGCCTGCCGATTTCTTACACGTTTTGCACAAGGTCATATTCTTGGCGCAACCGGACGAATATCACAAGGTCGATTCGTGGCCCGGAGAAAACGAACGTAACCTATTCTTACGACTCGCGAGCGAGGTGCCCATTCTACAAGCGACGCTCTTGCGAATTCTACTGATCGGATTGTCAAAGGAGCATCCGATGGGACAGAACGACGTAATCGAAATTTTGGATCAGTTCGTTAAACGGGCGGCGAATCTGGCGCCCGACTGTATGCCACCTCTCGTAATGGATAAGATCGAAATTGTGGATTTTTTCTTCAATCTGTGCAGTTACAATTATCCGGAGAATATTATTTTACCTACCGGCTATCATCCGCCGAATCTAGCGATAGCGTCCCTCTACTGGAAGGCCTGGCTTATTTTACTTATTCTTGCCGCGCACAATCCGACGACTTTCGGTAGCTTGGCTTGGAATAAGTACCCCACCTTACGGACCCTAATGGAAATGTGTATAACTAAGTAAGTATTATTATCAATTTATTATGTGACTGTACCGAGGAACAATTGCGTTGAAAGGTATTCTTTAACTTGTGAAAGATATTTACCGCCAATTTCAAATACCGTATTTCAAGTTTATTTTACAGTTTAAAGAATGAAATCCAATATACAAACATGTAAATGTAACCATTGAATAGTATTTCAGAAAACTGGAAGAATCTAACGGTTACGTGACGTTATTAAGCCTCCCCAGGTACGATTATGACATAAATAAATATATTAAGACATAAAAAGTCTTTTAAGCGATTTCAAGAAAAAAAATTGCGGGAGAAGCCGTAAACTTTCCACAATCTTAATACAAAGTTAACATAATTTCGTCGAAATGTGAGATTATGTTACGCCATACTTGATGATTACTTTTAACTTGGCAAGAATGTGCGTAACATTCCAACTTCAATTTCTTAAGAGAGTATGTTCTTTTTCCACAATAGTAGTGTAGAATTATTTTCCATTCCATTTGCCGCCCCTAAAAAATTGCCGCTATAGGCCCGGGCTCACATGGCCCTATGCTAAATCTGGCCCTGCAGGTATGCAAAAAAATTATTACGGATCTGACGTATAATAAGCTAGAAAGAAACCCAATAAGCATTATATGAATGTCAAGTGAGATAGAATACACAACAAACTAAAAGCGCTGATGCCATTCATGTGTCTTTTAAATAAGGCACATTTAACTGCTACTGTCAATGTCAACATTGGTAAAGTTATGTCTTACACTCACATAATATTTATTGCGTTTCTTTCCAACTTATTATTAGTCGTACTCGCAATCATTTTTTTCAATACCTGTAATCTGTATGTAAAGTCAAGTCGTTTATGTTACACTCCTTATAACTCAAGAACGGCGGGAGCGATTTTCATGATCTTTGATTTGTTGGATTCGTCTCCGACCCAAATAGTAATGAAATTATTATATAAGTAAGTAAGAGAACTAATGACAACAACGGTCAAATAAAACCCTATCAACTTAAAAAGGTTAATTGTATGCCACATACAGGGTGCCCATTATGTATGGAATATAGTATACAGGGTGGTGCCTCGCGCAACGCAGCAAAGGGATTTCAATGGTAATTTCTTTATAGTCAATTACTAACTCCCCAAATTATTTTAGAGCAAAAGTCTAAATACGTTTTTTTAGAGAAAAAAATACTGCATCTGTTCATACTATTAGTTATAATTTTCCATTTTTCAAAACCGTAGTCTTTAGAGTACCATGAAGGATAAAACTAGTTCCACACCGTACTTTGATCAGGGGAGAGAAAGAAGGGCAGTAGTTGGTAGAAAACGGTTTCTTTAGTTGAGACCTTTAATTAGAATAGGTACAATGAGAGGTATTAATTTTTAAACCTCCCCCCCCCTCCCCCCTGAGACCCGTCGCTCACTGATCTCGAAAAAGAGTCGCACGGGAAAGTTATAGTTTGTACAAACCAATTTATTTCGATGAGACCTTTCATTACAATACCATGAAGGCTAGAGCATGTGTTAACACTAAAGGCATGCGTATGCAAAATTGGTTGTCGTATGTAAAAGTTATGCACGTTTTACTTTCAAAAACAGCATTTCAAGAAATAATTCGTGGGGGAGGGGCCCTTATAGACAGCGAAATTTGATGGCCGTCTGGCACACCTTCAAGGTATAGGCTACCTACTGCAAAAAATTCCAGGACTCGAGGACCATTCCCCTAGAAGTAGTTCAAAACGGCAGAAGTGGGTCCGGACGGACGAACGGACAAAACGCAACCAATAGCACATTTTTTTTTAACTCTTAAAAAATGCGCTAAAAATTATGACATCCTGTATATGACAAAATTTCAATTTATTAAGTGTAAATCGGGTGATTACCTATGAATAAGCACAGAGATGATTTTATTTGAATTTGAATTTCCGTATTTGTTGTTCGTTTTAGAATTGTTTGTAATTGTCTACAACACCGCGCGTACCCCCATGCGACTGATGTGCCGAGTCGTTTTTATCGCAGCACAGCTTCCGGCATCTGTTACAAAGAAAAATTCTAATATTAACCTAAATAAATGGTTTGGGAGACTCCGTGTCCTCAATCACCTTCCGAAAATTCCAAAGGATTAACAACACAAATGTTAATTAACACCTGTCACAATTCTTGGACACGCGAAGGAAAATCTGACATGAAAACTCTATCCGAATCACACAATGGATTCGAATAAACACACAATTAATTGATTGAGAATGACAAAAATTTATTCCGAAACATATGAAATGAAAAATTAAAACAACGTTCCCGAAAGAAAGAATCGCTTACAAAGCTTGTTTGGACAAATTACTCATACGGTCGATTTTTTTCTTTTATGAATCTTCTCGTACAACGATTTCCGATTACAAGGTGCATATAGCTTCACACACACAAACACTGACAGATTCTGAATTTCACTTTTATTTAACACACAAAACTGCTTGATGACAAACAACATTAACTTGATGAATAAAATAACGAGTTGCAGGTGGATTCTCACAAAACTTTTGTTAACTTGCTTCTCCACACTTTATTATAATAATGACACACTATGCCCGAGTAAAAATAGCGTAAAGAAACGTATACGCTTTCCAACCGTCGGGAACTAGCCACGGTTTTTCGTTGATTCCAGTATTTAACGAAATATCATTTCCACTATAAAAAAATCTCTTCCTCCAGGACTTTCAAATAAAACCGCCCATCACAATGGCTAAGCACACTAGTCGGTTTTGGTCAAGTCGGCCGCCTACTCGGCAGCCTCCTGTTATAACACACACGTAGCGGTAAACCATTCGACTTGGCACATCAGTCGCACGAGGGTACGCGCGGTGTTGTACATAATTACAAACAATTCTAAAATGAACAAATTCCAATTCAAATAAAATCACCTCTGTGCTTATTCATAGGTAATCCCCCGATTTACACTTAATAAATTGAAACTTTGCCATAGACAGGATGTCCCGGCATAATTTTTGGTCTTTAGACCTAAATAACATCTACATGACGTTATTTTCAAAATGCATTATATATTTAGCGCATTTTTTAAGAAATAAAAAAAATGTGCTATTGTTTGCTTGTTGTCCGTCCGTACCCACTTCTGCCGTTTTGAACTACTTCTAGGGGAATGGTCCTAGAGTCCTGCAATTTTTTGCAGTAGGTAGCCTAAACCTTGAAGGTGTGCCAGACGGCCATTAAATTTCGCTGTCTAAAAGGGGGGCCCCCCACGAATTATTTCCAGAGATGCTGTTTTTGAAAGTAAAACGTGCATAACTTTTACATACGACAACCAATCGGTCTCAGATTCTGCATACGCATGCCTTTAATGATGCCAAGTTAAACTGTAGAAAAAAAGGGGGGGGGGGGGAATACATGTTCTACCCTTCATGGTAGTCTAATGAAAGTTACCAACTACTGCCCTTCTTTCTGTCCTATTATCAAAGTACGGGGTGGGGGGGGAGAGGAGTGGAACTAGTTTTATCCTTCACTCAACGAAAGGAATTAATTTCTACCAACCATAGCCCTCCTCCTCGACCTCTTATCGTGATCGGGTATATTCTTTAATACCTCAAGAACGGATTGTCGAAAGAGGGTACTCACAAAGGGCGATTAAAACGTCTGCAAGAAATATATCCATTGATGATGTCAAAACAAAAGCTATTTCGGTTAAAAATGCGCTTTATCTGCACAATTTATACTTGTTTAAATTGTTTAATAAATAATTCAATGTATTATGGTCATTCTTCAAACGAGCAAACGCGTTGTGGTCGCTTCTAAAATGACCACAGCGCGTTGTGGTCATAAGTTAAGAACCATAACAGGGAAAAATATTTAATTTCGGTGTTTGGTCATTTAGCTTCGACCACAACGCGTTGTGTGCGTTATTTTCGCTCATTGAGCGTTTTCGATATTTGTGCGTAACATATATCGGGTGATCGAAAAGACCTGCAGACAGTTTAAATTGGGCGCTTTAAGTTTTTAATGTTTTTTACTTAAGGAATTGGCAAACATGTTTAAAGGGTAGTTTATTTATGCATTAGTGATTAAATTGATCCACCCCTGCTTTTACAAAAATGACATTTGGTATGTTACCAACGTTATAAATGTTTAGATTTACAGGAAATTCAAATTGTCCGCACTACTTTTCGATCACCCGTTATATGTTGTTTAACATTTTATTTCCCATAATAAGACAGCATTCAGTTGTTTTTGTTTTAGAAAACGAAAAACAATTGATTTTTTTAAATGGCCGTGCATCTTTTCCTTAGGATTTGATAGAGATTTTTTTTCTCTTTTCGATGGTGTAACATGTTAGTACCCTAATTGTGAAAATTGTACCCTGGATCTTATCTTGATACATCCATACTCAAAATCAAAGATATTGAATAATATTGACAAGCTTTTTAATTTGTTTATAGAATACAACTACTTCAATTATTTTATATAACATTCACTCCTTGATACTTATACAAAGTTTGTACAGACATCACTTTCAGTTCATTAACACATCCCTAAACCGTTTAAATTTAATTGGCAATAATGGCTTAGTAAGTATGTCGGCTATTTGATATTCGGTGGGACAATGTATTATATCAAATACACCTTCACTTAATTTTTCACAAATGAAATAATACCGCACATCAATGTGTTTGCTGCGCTGATTAAACTTCCCATTTTTTATTAGTGCGATTGTGCTTGTGTTATCAATTTGAAATTTAATTTTTAAATTTTCGCCTATCAACTCTTCAATCAAGGCTTTCAAAAATAAAACTTCCTTCAGAGCTTCAGCTGCACTTATGAATTCAGCTTCCATAGATGAGAGTGCTACGATGGGTTGCCGTCTTGAACACCAGCTTATTGGTGTTCCATTAAGGAAACATACATATCCAGTAGTACTACGTCTACTTTCTAGATCATTAGCATAATCGCTATCCGTGTACACTACCATCTCATTCAAATTTCCATTCTTTTTGAAGAACAAACCTAAATGTTTGGTTCCTTTCAAATATTTTATTGTACGTTTTACATTTTTTACATCCGAGTCTGATGGATTTTCCAGGTATCGAGATTCCTTTCCAACAGCAAAACTGATGTCCGGACGTGTTTTTGAACTGAGGTAGAGCAGACTTCCTACTGCTTCACGATATGGGAAAATACCTTTTAAATTTCGATCAGTCTCATCTTTTGTCATGATTGGTATTTCCGAATCCTTAGCATTAGTCAAACCAAATCATGTGAAAATTGTTCTATTTGACACACATCCGTGTGTATAATTTCTAGTTCCTCCGAAGCTTCTGGAAGACTACCTAAGAAAGGTGTTCTTGCATGTTTCGCTTTTATGCAAACTTCACAAGAGAAATCTTTATTTTCTCTAAATTGTATGCCGTCAGCCATGCTACAAAGATTTTTCAAATTTGTACCACCAAGATGTCCCAGCTTCCTGTGCCATATTTCTTGTGTCAGTAGGACTTTGGGTTTTTCACTTTCTATGTTTACGGCATACCATCCTTGATTTGTTTTCCTTCCCTTAATCAAAACTTCACCATCCTTTCTTATAATAACACTATCTTGCTCAAATACTACGTCTCCGCCATTCTGTGTAATTTTGGTGACGGATATGAGATTTGTGCTTACATCAGGAACGTACGCCACATTTGTAAGATCACACTTGTTACCTTTTATGGTTCCCGCCATTTTACAGTTGTTTGCAACTGTAAATTCGAGTTCTGCATGTTTTACATTTTCCAACAATCTTATATCATTCGTCATATGACAACTGGCTCCACTGTCCACGATGAAATTCCCATCAGGGTCATTACCTGTTAATGATTGTCCCTATTTCTAAAGAAACATTTGCTTGTGTCGTGATTGTTACGTTTGCAGATGGTACAATGCAGTCTTTCCGGTTGTCTTAGGTCGTTGTTAGAATTCGAACGATCTAAGTTTCTTTTACAATCACGTGCAAAATGTCCTCGCTGATTGCATTTTCTACATCGGTACTTAGTCCTTTCCGCAATTTTAAATGCAATAGCTTCCACTGGAATGTCATCAGATTTCGTTTTTAGTTCCTCCGTTGAAAGACGTGCCACCAGGTTTGATAGCGTCCTTTCTCCTACAGCAGTAGATTCCCATGCACTTGCAAAATGAGAAAATGTGTCAGGTAACATTAATAATATTTTTGACATTAGCATAGTATCGATACATTTTCGTTTAAAGACTTTAACCTGAATGCAATGTTTTGTAGTGATGCAACATTTTCCGCAACACATTGTCTATCATCAAATTTGAATTGATAGAATTTACTTAACAACGTACATTTCAAGGTATCGGTATCACGCTCAAAAATACTTTTTAGTGCGTCATACATTTCTTTTCCCGTACTTTTGGTCATTAAATGTATGAGCACGCTTTTATCTACTGTAGTAATTAAGATTTTTTGAACCTTGGCATCCTGTCTTTTCCATTTAGAAATTATATTTTCAACTGCAGTTTTACCTTCTCCTTCTACCGGTTCAGGGCATAATTCTGTACCGTCAACGTGTCCGTAAATACCCGCCGCTTTCAACAGAATATCTATTTGAAACTTCCACAGAGAGTAACCCTCTGAATCCTTAAGTTTTTCTATGGAGTTCAGCTCATTTTGTTGTTCCGCCATTGTTCCAGTTTGTGACATCTGTCGTTATTTTTCAACTGCAAGGCACCAACTTCCAAGCTAATCCTTTTTTAGTTATTCAAGTTCTCCAACCACGCTCTGCTACCATGTGAAAATTGTACCCTGGATCTTATCTTGATACATCCATACTCAAAATCAAAGATATTGAATAATATTGACAAGCTTTTTAATTTGTTTATAGAATACAACTACTTCATTTTTTTTTTGCGCGATCGGTCATTTCTGACTATTTACCATGTGTGTTTCCATGACAGTAAGTGAATTTACCAGTTGCTATGATTACGACGACGCCAAAATTACTTACCGATCTAAAAACAGAACAGCAAAAATACTTACCGACGCCTTTTTAAAAACAATCAGTTCAATGTTAACAGTCTTACATTACATTTAATCTTTAATTATTGTTACATTAAACTTACAATTTGTGCTGATGTTTCCTATAGAAAGAACACGTTCTTCATTTAAACCTGAAGCAATAGAGATCAATGTGTTTGAAGATGTGCTTTCGTTTTTCTTAATACATTCCAATTACAATTTTGTTCTGTAAAATCTTCAACATACCATTCGGCCACCGGCGAATACCTCGCTCATAAAGTCATAACGGAAGTGCAAAGCTAGCAAACTACATCAGACACATGCACAAGAAATTATTAATTTCAGTTTTGACAAATAAACTGGTTACCTAGTGATGCACACCATACCACTTCGATCATTTCAATTTATTCTGCTCGTTAATTTCTTAGTGCATATTTATATTGGTTGCATAATTTTAATTTCGATCGCGCAAAAAATGTTATAAGCACGTCGAACGTTAAGGGTTACCGTTCTCAGACAATAATTGGAGTCGTCGCTTCGCTCCTCCTCCAAACAATTGTCTTCGAACGGTAAAAATCCCTTACCGTTCTCCATACTTAATATACTATTATATAACATTCACTCCTTGATACTTATACAAAGTTTGTACAGAACACTTTTCAACACTAATGCAACAAAATTATTCAAAAAAACTTATAATCACATCAATAACATAAATTGCTGGTATTATGTTGAAATCTACGAGGCGAATGCTGGAGCAGTACTCTTCCATTTTACCACCCTAACTCCATTCCCATCCTTAACTTTACCCATTCTTACTATCCCGTTCTCTGGTTGAAGAGGGCCGGGAAACCCTGAACAGCCCGCCTCCGGTGTCCCTCGGGGTATCGGAAGAATGAAACACATAGATCTTTTCCTTTCTAAATCCAAAATCCACACCATTAAAATGTTGACCAAATTTCGAAGACGCAAAATTGAAAGTTTCTTTTTTGTTGCTTAAAATGCCTATAATGCAATTGTTTCTCAATACAATCAATAGATGTTATAAGTATATTTTTAGTCATTTTTCATTTCCTCCTCCAACAATGACGAGTGGTGGAGAAAATATGGACGACTACGCCTCAAAAGAATTGCAAATAAACGCCCTGGAGAGGCAAAAAATTCTCGAATTTGAAACTCATCTGGCGGCTGCAAGCACCAAAGTCGAAATAACGGAGCAGACCAGCTTGCTCCTCTCTCAATTGATGGAATTAAAACCTCAAGGAGATGCGCGTAAACCTCCGCCTGCGGTACTCGATCAATTGCGAGTTTTGAATACAACGCATCGTTTGGGCCATTTATTGTGTCGGTCTCGAAATCCCGATTTTCTTCTCGATATAATGTCAAGACAAGGTGGCACAGCGCATATGCCTTGGTTGGCGGAGCTTGTTCATAACTCAGAGGGCGCATTCGCACATTTACCTGTTCAGTGTCTCTGCGAATACTTACTATCTACAATGCCCACGGAAAAACTGACAAAGCACGGTCAGCTTCTCACCCATTTAAGATTGGTCGTTAACGGAGGTGACCCTCAGAATGCGTGCGAGGTGCTCGAATACCTACTCCGCCGTTTGACATCGATCCATGCGGCGAGTCGAATTCAAGCGATCAAGGGTTTGACGCTAGTTTTGGCGCCGAATGAAGACATTGAAATTGGCAATGTTAACATTGATACTCAATGGTTGACGCAGTTTATGCCCATTTTTCCGCATTTAGCCGCTGTGCGTCCCATCCTGGTTCAATTCCTTCGACAGGCCCTGTTTGTAGAAACGAATCCGACGCACGTCTCGAATTACGTCAACTTTCTTTCAACGCAAGACTTAGACGAGTCCATTCCTGATTTGCTCGAGTTGGTTTTGGATTTGGCGTCGATTATCGTCGAGCGAAGTTGCATCACCAGTCACATTCTACCCGGTGAGGATATGCAAACGTTACAAGCGTTAATCACCGTCTTCTGCTTGTATCTGCAAAGAGCGCGCCAACCGACCGATGAAACTTTCCACTGGTCCGAAAGCCAAGATCAGGTAGTCGTGACGTGGGCAAACGGCGAACAGTGCACTCTACAAATTCTAATCGTGCACGCTTCCATCATTCTGCTGACTTACGGCCCGCTTCCCAACTTTGATTACTTCAAGGTACTGATGAATACTTGGTTCCCATTAAACGAAGAACACCCGAAAGCGTATTTGGTGGATACATCCGAAGAGGCGTTGCTGGTCCCCGATTGGTTAAAATTGCGAATGATTCGTTCCAACGTGCCTAAGCTGGTCGATGCTGCCGTCGAAAAACTGGAAGCGCCGCAGCTAGTACTTTTTATACAATCTTTTGGAATTCCAGTCGTGTCGATCAGCAAACTGCTGCAAGCGTTAGACAAGGTTACGGTGCTGGATGCTAAATTGGTGGTTGATTCTGTCTTGGATAAAAATTACATGATTCAGTTGGTCGAAGTGCAAAATCGGAGAGGGGCTCGCGGTGGTGAAACCTTCGTTAGATCTTTGGAGCTGCAAGCTCCCAATTTACACGATGACGGTGAAGGCGGCGTTGTGGGATCTAAGAAAGTGTTACCGCCAATACTTAAAGCTAGCATGGATTTTAAAACTGAATGTGATTTAAACTACATCGGGAGTTATCTCAGTAACATATTCACTCCGAATTATGCGGCTGACAAGAAAATGAAAGAGTTTAATTATTTAATTAAGGTAAGTTGGCGCTTATTTTCCACTCGCTGAACGTCGGCTGTTTCTAGGCGATCCTGGCAAGCCCAAGTGCAAAAAAATTGGTGCTTCGTTACTTAAAGGGATCCTTACCCGATTTCTTGTATAACTTTATAAAAACTAGCAGATTTTCAATACCGCTTTGCAAAATACTTTTTGTGTCAAAAGATGTTAATGATTTAAGCATCGCCACAGCTAACGTGCTGCTGGCCAGCATTTCTGATGTAAGTCATCCATTATCAGATGTGCTGCGGCAATACCTCGAAGTGTGCGGGTCATTGACGAAAGTTCCCTATAAGGAGAAACTTCATCGACTAACTCCCAAGATGTCGGAGTTCTTGAACGATTCTAATGTGGAAAATTATGGTGAAATGCTGGGAAAGCTGTTGATGGCGCAAGATTTGGAAGTGGAGAAGACCGGTTTGATCGTAGATTGGTTATGTTTGGTCGAGCTGGAAGTCTTAAGTTCTGATCATTCTAATGTGCAGGTAAACTGTACGCATTTTCAATATGTTTGTTGAATCTCGTGTTTCAGATTGATTTGCTATTTTCAAAGCAAGAATTGCCTTTTCGGCCGCTACTGATTTCATTGCTTTTGCAAAGAGCCAGTTGGAAAACACTTTACGGGCTTGTGAACCACTTATTGGGAAGCCCAAATGGAAGATATAGTCCCGTTTCTACACTTGATTTTTTAACAGCGTTAACAGAAAGTCCAAAATTATGGCAGGGGCGCGATAAAGCAATTCCCAAACATTTCCATTCCGAGGATGTTTTACATCTCAGTGTAGATCAAGTAAGTAGGTACAATCCATAATAATACGTTAGGTAAATGGAAGAGTTCCGTAAAGATAGGGAGCTTTTTTCATCAAGCACTCCATCGGAAGCATTAATCGTCGGTATTCGACAACGACAATCGTAATCTTTGTTATCAATGAATTTATTTCAACATTATTGCGTAATTATATAAATGAAATTTCTACCTCTCACACTATTTATGTATGTGTGTATTGCTGCAAATTTTTATAAAAATGGTAAAAGCGAGTAACCTTTGTGAATATTGGCAGTGACACCCAAAATTCAAAATACAAACAAAAGTTGCCCTCTCACTACCGCGAGAGTAGCTCTAGGGTTTCGATTACAAGGACGGAAAAAGAGCCACTGAAAAACCTTCCAGGCTAGGTACTCACTTACTTTCTTATTTCTTTTCCGATTTGCATTTTACATTATAATCGCTGTCAACTTGTACAACAACATCGGGGAATCATACTTCACGCATAATAATAATTTTACATTGATATTGAAAATATTGTAGCCACCTTCTTCACACAAATGAAGGTATTTGTTACGGCTGTTATGCAACAGAGCTCTACATTCACCCCAGCACCTCACGGACGGTATTATGGTTAGAATTAAATATTAGATTAGAGATCAGGTGATTTTATCGAAAACATGACCTGTCTCATTATCATAGTTGTGTAGTTATGTCTGGGGGTTTCGGTATCCATCCCATAGCACTATTCAAATAACATAAATATTCGGGAGTTATGAAGAATAATTACATTTGGTAGATATGTGTAGCGTACAAATGAAGCAGCTTCGATATTTATAATGCAATGGACTGTATATGAAATGTAATTGCTTCCTATGCCTTTGTATGAGAGGGATGAAAGAATGATTTAATGTGTATATTATCAATAAATGCAAATCAAATCAATTCTAAATCTTGATCTGGCAATCGGTACGAGGACACAGTATCGTTGTTGTTTCGAAGTAGGTCAATATTAATACAAACGAAGGCAAAAGGCGATGGCGGTTGGCGTTGCTTTTGTTGTGGCGACAGCTACAATGAGCAAATTTAATTGCTCAATGAAAGTGATGTGTTACCTTTTAACAAACACGTTCTTTATTATTGACGGTTGTAAGGCGACATGTTAATTCTTGTTACTTCGATTCTTTCTTGGTTGACTGTTGTTCGAAGAATTCTGATCAACGAATGCGCGCAATTGCAGCGCAATTCTAGCTTTAGCGGCTCATTCGCCGCACATAACAAGTGCGAACAGGCGAAATAGCTCTAAACAAGGCATCCCAAGATATTTTGTTTGAAGAAAAAACTAAAGGGCTATAATTCTAGTTGAGGTACGCAACAGTACATTTATGCAAAATAAGATGATGACCAAATACTATTGCAAAAAATTCAAGTTTATTCCGCCAGCATAAACAAATTAAAACCTCCTACCCATCGCACAAGCCGATAACAAAAATTGTACTACTTTACTACTTTATTTTTTTTGTCTACATTGCCAATTCACGAACTCCGATCTACAAATTTGATAAAGAATCCACCTGCAAAATTTCATCAATCGGTTTCGTTTATGAGTTATCGTGCTAACGGACGGATAGACGGACAGACACCGCCAAAATTGTAAACTCGCTAGGAGCTCGTTAACAATTGAAAAATTTTAGTTCTTTGAAGTATTTTGGGTATGGTGCATTAAAAACTTTTGTGAAAAATTTAATTAGCCGTCATATGATGTAATAATATACAGGGTGTTCCATATAAAAAAAGTTACATTTTTGTTATCTGAAAAATGCGATGTCGACTTGTTTTTTTTACTTCACAGATTTGGATTTTGATAATTTAACCGTGTTTCTAACTCTACAACTAAGGAAGTCAGCAATAGCATCAAGGAAAAGAGTGAGCAAAAGCTCGCCCCCTACTTCACACTTACCGGGAAATATTCAATGGCATGTCGGATGTCGTTGCAGTCAAATTCGCGCCAATGGGTTTAGCTGTAGAGGGGGTGCAAGTAGTGAAGAAAATACTTAGTAGGCACCCACCTAAATAAGTGACAAATAACTGTCCCAGTTGCACAAAAATAAAATAAGTAGATGTTAAATTGGCATTTTAATAGGTTTGAATGAGTAAGGCGCTCTTTAACCGTGAGGGTACATAAAGTGATCACTTTAACCGCAAAGGTAGATAAAGTGAAACAGATGATTATGCTTGGTATTTCAAATGAGACGCGGAGCACGATGTAAAATGAAGTTCAGAACATAATACAATGCTGTTTCTATGGAAACGGCCCCGGCAGAACCTAAGCTTGCTATTTTTGACGCCTAAATTAAATTCAATTTTTGTATTATGCACGACGATAAACGGAAACTAATCATCTCCTTCCTTTATCGTCTTACATAATAAATAACTGTTGTTTTAATTTTTAGGTGAAAGTGTTTGTAAACTACATCATAGAAGAAGCCCATCTTCATAACGACAATTGGGAAAAGCGCATGGAATCGCGTTTGCCATTACTCCTAAATTCAATCACTTCCGTTTCCACTGAGCCTTTAGTCAAAATGCTACTTGAAAGGTCTCAATCGGATGTAAAGTGCAGAGAGCTTCTCCTTTTGGTCTACATGTCTATGCCCTCGATAGGAAAGTACTTACTCACTTTCAACAAACAGCAGTTCGCCCAGACGCTCTTCTCCAAAAATTCAACCAGTAGCGTTGATGTTATCTCGCACACTTTACTTAGCGCACTAACTGCAACATCGCGAAGCAAAGATTGGCCTAGAAAAAGTCAAGAGTTGGATTTATGCGCTCGCAAGTTGGCTGCGGCCCATCCGGAGCTTGTCTTGAGGCAATTGCCAATGCTCGCCGGTAGCCTGCGAGGGCGGGCGCAATATGAATTCCCGGTTTTAAAAAGTCGAGGTCATTTACTGCTATTCGGACAAATATTAGGAATCTTGGAGTTGCTGCAACCTATAGTATTTGAGCAAAAGGAATCGTTATGTTCCATTTTGGATTCCTTCTTTCTTCTGCTACAGTATCATGGGCACCTTAAGGATATTACCTTCATTTTAAATCGCGTTATTACGCTTCTACAGAATTGGATGACTAAAGACGTTAAATCGGCTTTGAAGTACCTACAGCGCCATGGGCAGTTGTTAAAGTATGTCGGTAAATAATGTTTTCGTTGCAATAATGATTGTTTTATAGCGAACTGCAACTGTCACAACCGAGTGTGAGACCTCTTCTGTCCAGCGTATCCCTCCCCGTGCAAGATCAAAGTGCTCCTACAGAACTACTCGTTGGTACAGCCACACCACCAGTTCCAGAACCGCTGCCTCAACAATGGCCAGTACTGCTCACCTCGCTACAGTCTCAAGACGTCCTGCCAGGTCTGCAAGAACTTGACCATCTCACCAGTAAAAAACCACAGCTATTGCAGCATGTGTCTCAGCATTTGTACAACTGTTTGGACAATAGCAGCAGCAGTGTTAGATCGCTGGCGCTTTTGCTCGTGATACGATTACTGAGGTACAATCCGAAAGAAAGTGAAAACGCGCTTCCGACTGTGTTGATGTGTTTAAGTAATAAAAACCCAGAAGTGATCGCGACTATTTTAGATAGACTTCCGGAATTAGTGTGTACAATGCAGGAGCATGCCAGTGTCATTTTAAATCAAACGTTTAAATTAGCGGCGCGTTCAAATTTAAATGCTGTAACGGGCATTACGAAAAGTATTGCATTACTAAGTTTGCAATTTGGATGTTAAATCAAATCGATTCCTTACTGTAGTAAACGTAATTACGTGATATTTATAATTCTTTTATTGTGATATTAACAACAAGATCACCAAAGAATGACCTGAAATCTGTACAGTTAGGTTAGAACTACCGCAAATATCAACACAACTAGGAAGTTGCGAAATTAAATGAAGTTTTACAATCCAAAACGCTAAAACTAGAAGGTAGGTAATTAACAAGTAGTAACAAGAATCCATCAACTTGCGCAAAAAGGATTTTGAGGCAGTTTTCAAAAATGAAAAGTTAAATCTAACAGTTAATATCTAATTTGAGATATATCTCATTTATTTCTCAATTTCATTAGGGAAACACCAAAACACATTGATTTGGTTCACAGGTGCTCTTCCTGTCTTCATAGCTTATTTGGCAACTTCAATTTTTCATTCAAAATAACTGACTGCTATTTAATAATATTATTATTTGATTAGTTGATTATATCAGTTCGTTAATAATACAAATTGGTTAATATTTGGGTTACAAACTCAGTTAATCTGAGGTTGCGAACGGGGCCTGAGCATACTATTTACACATACTGTCATCTTGTTGATCTAGCCGCTAGCGGATTGAATTTTTTCCTTTCATATTAAACACTGAACAGCTGTGGTGTGATGGTTAATAGAGTGACCATGCATATTGACATAGCAGGTTAATCAAGGAACTGCAAAAAAAAAAAACATTCCAATATGACCAATTTAATATAGAGAATGTAATAATTACAATTAACGTTCTTAGTCTTACTTAAAGTAAACTTGAAATGCACAATTAAAATAGATTCTAAATTCAGACCTAATCAATTGACTAGTTATAACAATTAATTTTAAGTCATCATATTCTTAAAATTATAAATAAAATTTTGACGCGCCCGCCACCTAACCTCACCCAATTAATAACTTAATACCAAACTACATTTAAATGTTGATAGCTCTCTCGATAGCAGCATTGGCAGTTTCTGCCACTAACAGTCGACGTGTACTCGATCCACTAGTATAACTGTCTCCACTACTTCGAATACTTGCATGTGATAGAGGAGTGCCGGGTAACTTTTGTGGGGTACTTTCCATTGAACCGGCCGAATTTGAAGATACTGAATGTTCGTACAGGGGACCGGAGTGAATAGGACCTGGCTCCTCTGGTGTGTAATAGTCTGAGTCGTCGCCTCGTTCCTTTTCTTCGCCACTTCGTACTAATGAAACATAAAATAAAACCAATAATATTACCAAATTAAGCTTTTCTCAATACAGCACTGTCATAGTGTGAGAAATAATAATTAAATAATTTACGAAAGGTTCATAGTCCTTAAAACTACAAAGGTATATTAATTGTAGGATCGGAAATGATCCCTGAACAATAATATAACCTCAAAATTGGGATAAAAGTGCAAGCGACTAGCTAGCTACCGCATCCATGTATAGTACTATACTAAGGGAAGTACTGAAATAGCAAGAATAATGTAGTGTGTGAAGAAACTCAACGTGAGAAAGTAAATTTCTTAAGGTTGATGGTGAACGATGTAATAAAGGGAACTTTTGGAATAAGAAATTGAAACGCAAATTGAAAGAACTAAAGAAGCTAGCTAAGGGTTAGCAATTCAATTATGGTATTACAAAAGAAATGAAGGCAAAGAAAAACATGAAGAATAAAATTTTAAAGAGAGAGACCTTCATATGTAAAAAGTTGGCATTTTGGAGTCTGCGTATGCCCGCATTTGATTTTTACTATATGCGATGTGTTTGCCTTGGGTAATGATATTGTGTTTTTTTTTACTAGAAGCATCTATGGTTAAAATTAAAAAAAAAGGCCTTCATGAATAAAGAAGTTGACAGACTGCCCATACGCACATCTAATGTTTACAATATGAGATATGTTTGCCTTTACTTTAAGTATCTGTGGTTAAAGTATCAACAAAATATATTAATAAATAAGAAAGTCCCCTCTCTTGTTCTGGGCCCTCAACAGGCTTGCGCCCAATTACAGAGTGACCCGCATAATGCTTTTTAGAGGTGCTTCTGCAGGAGGTCTTAAGTTGTTCTATACTACTCCGGTATTTACCTTACAAATTAGGAAAACTGCAGGAAAACCTAATTCGGAGTAACCGGCAGATTGCTCGAAGTTGGCCTAAGGCAATTCCCATCTCTGTCACAGATAAAAAATTCTTACCTCAGCCAAGGTTCGAACACCCGACCTCCGGCTTATGAGACCAATGCTCTACCATTGAACTACAATGTCGGTTATTGCGCATCCTGCGCATGCGCACATTAATCTTTTCTTTCCCTCATTCGGTTCCATGTGCCACGCTCTTCGGCTCGTAATGTATATACCTACTTTCAATTGTGCTAAGGCCAATACAAACTTACTTTGTAAATCACCAATATTTGTTATGGTAAGTAACTTTAACAAAATTGCTAATATGTGTGACATTAACACTTGCTCAGTATCTGATCTTAAAAGATTGATGGAATATTTTTAATCTTGTTTAAGTTTAATATCATTTAATTTGGTTTTTATTAGGTTAGCGGTTAAGGTATTAGCAGAGCTGTCACTTTTAATAAGATTTAAATCTTTTTTATGATTTAAATACTCTTTTCGATTTAAATCATTTGATTTAAGATTTAAATCTTCATGAAAACTATCTTTGATTTTGAACTTAAAAATATGATTTAAATCTTTTAAAAACATTTAAATACTTTCGAAAAGATTTAAATCGTTTCTGAGTGATTTAAATCTTTTAGAGACGATTTAATTAATACATACTAACAAATTCTCTTGATTTATTTCAACCTGACTAAGCTAATTAACCCGGGTTTTATTTCGGTAGACGTTTATATGTATTTATTACAAAATCGAGTATAGGTACTGAGATTGACGATGTCTTGGTTTTTTAAAATTTCTTTCGCAAAAAAATAGGCACATATTTTAATTTAATAAATAATAACAATAAAATACGGTAGAAATGGTAGGCATATTGATGAATGATGTTGAGGATTTCGAGCAAGATCATCAGACCAATCAGTTTTATTGAATTTAAATCCTTTACAAACCTTTTGTCACAAAACGATTAAATCATCGGAAAAGATTTAAATCAGGCTCCGTTAACTTAGCACCACCATTTCAAATTTTTGACTAAAGACAGATTGCGCTAGAATCTCTATGGCTAGCGCCAGCTAGCGCCACTTTGAGTTCAGCTAGCGCCATTATAGATTTTACAAAAAAGCCTTTGACTTTCGGGGGGTGCTATATTAACGCTAGCACCACCATTGCGTCCGATCATTTCCAAAAGCAAGCGCTGTGTTCGTCAGAGCTGGCGCCAGCTAGCGCCACAAATTTTAGAGCTAGCGCCACCCCCCAATAGTGCGGGGGGCATTTTTTCCTGGCACCACCATTTTGTTTTTTCGGGTAAAATTTTGACGTTTTGTGTTCTGCTGACCTAGCGCCATCACCCTCCAATAGTGTGGGGGGAGGGGGCACCACCATTTTGTCTTTTCGGGTAAAAATGTTCTTGTAGACCTAGCGCTCAAGTTAACCTAGCGCAATTATAAATCCTAGCGAGTTTATAATTTTGCGGTGTCTGCCCGTCTGTCCGTTAGCACGATATCTTGATAACGATAACGAATTGACCGTTTACGATGAAATTCTGTAGATGGATTCTTTATCAAATTTGTAGATCGGAGTTCGTGAATTGGCAATGTAGACCAAAAAATAAAGTAGGCACTTTTGACATCTCTGTGAGTTATGAACCGAATTGTATGAAATTCAATATGTGTATAGCTTTAGCCATATAAAACGCAATTCCAAAAGTTGAGCCTAATCGATCAACATTCACAGTGCTCTTTTCGCATCTCGACCATTTACAAACCGGATTGAAAACTTTCTTATTTATGGAAGCATTTAAAAGAAATTTGATACATAGCCACTTGGAATAAAAGCAAATTTAACGCCAGTTTCAAAATTTGGTTTTGTGCATGATGTGTGGTGCCAATTTTCTTATTTATGGAAGCAATTAAATGAACTTTCATACATATTGTTGTGAGACCTAACCTTAACTTCTGGGAATCCCACGATTTCCCTCTAGCTAGCTCAGTTGTAATTAAAATGAAAACAAAATTTTTATCCGCATCTCAAGGTCCAGCTGGATTCTGCCACCCTACAGCATTCCAACAATGACATAAATAGGAGGCTTAACCAAATCCTTAAATTCCAATATGAAACTTTACCCCCAGATTTAATAAACTTGAAACAAAGTAAGAGACGCCGACAATTACCTCTCTTTGACTCTAATAAACAAAACCTGGATTGCAATGACTGGTTTAATTTCAGACAAAAAATTGCGTAAATTTCTGTTTTACAAATTGTTACAATTTTAAACAGATAAATGACACACACAAAAAAAAACAAATTACTCAAACATTACAAAAAAAACAAGACAAAACAAACCACTAACTACTACTTACTTTTAAAATTAGTCCGAGAAACGTACTCCGATAAAAAGAGGTAACCGTAACCGACGCAAACCAAACACTCAAACACCGACGTCTTCTCTCTTCGGGTACCCACAAATTCAAAACTTCCGTGTTTCCGCAAAAAATAAAAAAAACAGGACGGCGACAAACTTCTTAAACTTCTCAATAATTCTTCTTAAAACGGCAGACACAAAATTCTAATTAAACCTGGATCCACTACGCAAGAAACTTCCACAAAATTCAAAAAATAACGTAACCGAAGAAGCGGCGGTTGGCTTTGTAACGACCAAAAAGCCCCGCTCTCTTCCAAAATTTTCTATTTAAGCCAAAAGCCCTTCTCCTTTCTTCAACATCCCTTCCGCCAATCACGCGAAGCGTCGATTTTTCAACTTCTTGCTAAACGGCACGTACGCCCGGCAATTCTGCGAAGAACCTTATCTCTACTTCGCGCTATACCTCGTTAACGGCAAATAAAATTTAAAAAGAAATTTACATCGAAAAAAATTCTAGGAATAAAATAAAAACAGAACACTTCTAAGAAATTGAACCAAAACTATAACATGAAATTTACGCAATCCTGTGTCTCAAATTATTAATAACCCCCCCGGTTAATTAATTGAACTAAACAAAATTGTCACATCCAGACGCTCTATAATTTCTTTCAAGTTACAACTAAAACAAAATAACACAACAATATACACTTTAAATAAAAGCAAAACTAGCACCAAGTTCAAAATTTTGTTTTGCAAATGCTGTAGCCTTACCCAGGAGCCCGTTTTCTATATTTACTTACACGTCGTTGCGAAAATGGCACTATTATTTCAATTTGAAATCCTTTACTTTTTGGATTGATCGTTCTGTTTAAAGTAAAAAGTTCCAATAAAAATACTAAAATTTGTATATAAAGTAGCAAGATTGTAACCCTTTATTTCGAAGTAAACTGACGGTGAGGTATGCAGGTGCAAACTTACTTAAATCCTTTATGAATGCGCAAAAGTTGTAAATTACTTGTCACATCAAGGGTTTACAGGCGCGTCAATTGTGTAAATGTTGGTAAATCTGCATTGTTAAAAAACACCTTTAGATAGTAGTCGACGTGACGTACATAGGTATATAATTTATCGAGAGTAAATACACAAGAGCTTGATTTTTAATCGCATAATTTTATTTTTACACGAAAGTTTTGTTGCAACGGAAAAAACTCGGAACCAAAAGTGTGATAAAATCGCGACAGTTTTAGCTGGAGCGATTTTATTAATATTATGCTTTTGATCGAAGGTTTTTTCCAGGAGGCAACAAAATTTGAGTGAATTAAAAATAAAATTATCCTGACCAAGGTCGAGTGTATTTTAGGGAGATTAATAAAAGACAGTAAATTTTACAACCACTACATATTTTACTATTCCTACACGCATTTTTATCGCTGTAAAAAGGTACCTAGCATTTAATCAGATAAAAAATCATCTGATTGGTTAGAATTTGAAACAATCACCTAGCTGATTGGTCGTATATTAATGGAGTGTATTAATCATATGAAATACATATGCCTTATTTGCACCATAAAAATTAGTTAGCTACGGAAATTACACATTAGTATAATATAAGAACTGCAGCTTCTTTGTTTTTTAGCAGAATTAACAAATATGTTGATTGATTTAACGACTTTATATAGGTTATGAGTAGGTACGTTCGTTGAAATTTTCAAATTTTGCACTGCGCTGTGTTC